CACCTGAACATCAGCAGGAGAGGACTCTTTAAAGTAGAGACACTACATACTGATATACACCTGAACATCAACAGGAGAGGACTCTTTAAAGTAGAGACACTACATACTGATATACACCTGAACATCAGCAGGAGAGGACTCTTTAAAGTAGAGACACTACATACTGATATACACCTGAACATCAGCAGGAGAGGACTCTTTAAAGTAGAGACACTACATACTGATATACACCTGAACATCAGCAGGAGAGGACTCTTTAAAGTAGAGACACTACATACAGATATACACCTGAACATCAGCAGGAGAGGACTCTTTAAAGTAGAGACACTACATACTGATATACACCTGAACATCAGCAGGAGAGGACTCTTAAAGTAGAGACACTACATACTGATATACACCTGAACATCAACAGGAGAGGACTCTTTAAAGTAGAGACACTACATACTGATATACACCTGAACATCAGCAGGAGAGGACTCTTTAAAGTAGAGACACTACATACTGATATACACCTGAACATCAGCTGGAGAGGACTCTTTAAAGTAGAGACACTACATACTGATATACACCTGAACATCAGCAGGAGAGGACTCTTTAAAGTAGAGACACTACATACTGATATACACCTGAACATCAGCAGGAGAGGACTCTTTAAAGTAGAGACACTACATACTGATATACACCTGAACATCAGCAGGAGAGGACTCTTTAAAGTAGAGACACTACATACTGATATACACCTGAACATCAACAGGAGAGGACTCTTTAAAGTAGAGACACTACATACTGATATACACCTGAACATCAGCAGGAGAGGACTCTTTAAAGTAGAGACACTACATACTGATATACACCTGAACATCAGCTGGAGAGGACTCTTTAAAGTAGAGACACTACATACTGATGTGCAGAATATGGCCCCTTTAGATTGAACCCCCAGGCTTCTGGTGGGATGCAGCAACACAGCCACAACACACTTTGTGTCATATCACTAGTGAATCTTATTGCATTCTTGTTTGTAGAAAGATGAGACAGTCCCTTTGTGCTGTTAATGTGTTGCTTTCAGCCAGTGTTGCTGCGATGCAGTTCAGTGTAATGTAATATACTGCCACTGGGTGGCGCTAAATAAACAAGTCCCCAGTGTTAGTTTAATCTACTCAAAAGTTTGACCTTTACTTCATTACATGTGACAGATAATACTTCCTGGTTAAACTAACCAGTCCTTGGATATATAACCTTTGTTCACTGAACTTAGGAAATAATAGCTCAGGTTGGAGTCGAATTGAAATATTCAGAAGTCGACAAAGTTGCATGGTTTGTGTTTGAGTTTGGGCATTGGAAACATACATTTGACATATGAAGGCTCAGCCCATTGACTGTTGCATGGAAACATTGAAGAGTTTATTTGATTTTTTAAGAAGAGGACATGAACAGACTTCTAACGCTGTCAATATTACAAATAGATAATTGAATCATTAAATAAATCCTGCTTTTATCAAGAGTTGTATTTCTATAAATCTTAATTTTGTGTATTAATATTTATACATATAAGTACATGGCACTGATATGTGAGTTATTGAAACCTCAGGCACTACTCTCTGCACTCTCTGGTTTGCAAACTGCAATTGACAATGAAGTTGAATCTAACCTAATCTTATTCTAATGCGTGATGTATTTATTCAAACATGTGAATCCTAACATTAAACCAATCATTATTGAAACTGTAAACAAGCCTGTAAACATCTTCTTTTTTTGTTCCTGCAGAAGCGAGATGCGTAGGTCTCGAACCCAGAAGAGGACTGTGGTGAGGGACTCCCAGGGAAAGCACGTGCACCTCGAGCGCCACGACGACCCCCCCGACGCCCTGCAGCCCGACGCCCTGCAGCTGCACCTGCACCGCCTGCTGCAACGCTACTGTGAGGAGGAGGAAGAGGAGGAGGAGGAGGAGGAGGAAGAGGAGGAGGAAGAGGAGGAGGAAGAGGAGGAATGGTTTGAATAGCAGCTGCTGATCTTCCTCTGTGGCTCCGCCTCCTCAGATCCAGATGTTCTGTCCCTTCTCGTTGTCCTCGCCGATCACTGGATTATAGCTTTCCTTCTTCTTTGTGTTGAATAATGGAACAGTATTTTGTGATTCAACACTCGTCCTTCCTTCACATTGTGTTTCATTTGTGACCAAAGATGGCACCCTTCATTTCTGTCAGACTTGAGTTTTCCCTCTCGGGCTGCGGGGGTGTGATCCGGTACGACCCGCCACCGGTGGATCAAACTCAGAGAGGGGCATCTCGGACGTTTTGGCCTCACGCACAGCCCTCTTCTTGAAGAACTCTTGTAAACATATGTACATAGATGAGAAAATCATGCTTGAACTTAGGGGGGTGGGGAGAGAAGAAATCTCAAAGCATTTAATACATTAGCCCACCCTGCTGTACATGCACCGACTCAGCGGGAGAATGGCCACCGGACAGATGAGATTCATATTAAAGAGAATACATTGTGGTGTGAGTGTGTGTCACCCTGCTGATCTGTTTACTAAGGCTGTGTGATCACACCGTTTGTCTTCCCATCATGCATCTCTTTTGTTTAACATGTCAGTCTTTCTATACTGTGTTGTGCATTTGCATTTGATCTGTCACAGAGCTGCCACTTCTGTGTGTAAATACAGTTTGTGTATTAAGAGAAGTAGAGATGGAGCACCCTCCCGCCCCCCCCTATATATGTGTCACCTCCACCTTCACATGCTGCTCCTCATCCCCTCACACTGATCATATAATGTCCAAGGACAAGGCTGGATCATGTTTCTTCTTGTCAACAACTCTCATGAGCAGAGCCACCAACAAGGACCTCCCCTCCTCACAGGAAGTGTTAGTATCAAACCCGATCCTCCTCTGTGCTGGAGAGTTAAAGTATGACTTTAAGGACTTCTGTGCCAGTAAAAGTGATTTCATAGTTTCATTTTGAGAGGCAGACTTTACAAATCTGAATTGGACCATTTTAATCTGGCCATGTCAAACATCATTTCAACTGGCAAGATGTCCCACTGACTTGTCTATGTTTTCACGTGAGCTTTAATAACAACATTTCCCCCAAAAACATTCAGGCATGAATATTTGTACAAATGATGAGACGTTTTCATTATAATAGTATTCGATAATTAAACAAATGCACTGTCATCCAAAAGTGACATCACTGGCGTCGGAGAAGGAGGACATCACATTAAACAAAATGTTTTCAGTAAGTAGAAGATGAGAGGAGCTGGACTGACCACTATATGCTAAGGCTGCGTATACTCTCCTGAGTCCAGAGTAACTACAGCAGATCAGCTGTTTGAGGAATTTACAGAATGAAGCTATATATCTGTGAGACATTTTTTAAATATTTACATCTTCACTGTGTTTGGGGCCAAGAGACAGAGACAGGGTATACAGACAGACGGATCTAGAGAGGGACTAACATGTTGTTGCTTTGGGACTTTTCATGTGGTTTGTTGACAATAATACTAATAACTCCAGACTTATGCTTTATGTTTTTAGGAACCACACCTAGCTTAAATATGCTTTTCTTTAACTGCTGTTATTGGTTTGACTTGTTTGTGTTTTCACTGCTATCAAAGGAGTAACACATCAAAGTAAAATCCAACAAAGTCCTTCCACTCACTTCAGTCATTGCACTTCCTTATGTATTGCCGTCCATTTGTGATCCCTGTAACCTCCAGTGTGTGTGTGTGTGTGTGTGTGTGTGTGTGTGTGTGTGTGTGTGTGTGTGTGTGTGTGTGTGTTTGGATGTGTTTTAAAGCTCAAAGTAATAAAGATGCCATGGTAGACAAACAGGCTGTGGTGTGCATCTGTGTGCCCTGTACAGGCTGATGAAGTGTGTTCGGTGTTTATCTGCAGCTGAGACTTGATCTGTGTACCAATACGATCCTCACGTGCTACTCTGTGTGTGTGACCCGATGGAAGAATAAAAGAAAAGTCAAAAACAGACCATTGACTTTATAAATGAGCATCTTGTTTCCATGGTGAAAATAATATATACAGTACATTCAAATATCTATGCGGGCATGTATGACTTTATCAAATAATTACTAAAAACCTGAAACGCTAAGAAGGCATAGCAGCTGCAGTGTGTACATGGCAGAACAATAAATATGTACATTCGTCTAATGTGAAGTGATGTCATTCTTTCTGAGAGCAGCTGAGAGGAGTGAGGCTCGCTGTGTGGTGACAGGGCGGGACTTCATTTAAGGTTCCTTTCTCCTATTGGGTACTGAGTGATAGACAGGAAGGAGCGTGGGGTTGATATGCAGCACTATTTTACCATTCAATTAGCTGTTGCCTTTATCCAGCGATGGAGATTAATTATAAAGTATATTTACTCAAGTAAGTACTTTTTTTGACATATTAGTACTTCACTTAAGTATTTCCATTTAATGTTCCTTTATATCTCTACTCCAATACATTTCAGAGGCAAATACTACATTATTTGAACCCTCACAGTTACCAGTTACTTTGTACACATATTTACACATATGCTGATATGGTATTATGCAATACTGTACTTATTATCTATACAGTATTTCAAGTATCTAAATGTGGTCTAAATTGAACAAATACGAAACTAAAACGCTCTTACATTTATAAAAACGGGATAATATAATAACCATTCAAATAAAATACTGTGAAAAGATCCATTCTGCAGAGTACTTTCACTTTTGATACTTAAAGTACACTTAGCTGACAATACTAATGGTCATTGGGCAGAATGAGTACTTTTCCTTTTTGATCTTAATACTTTAGTACTTTAGCCTAAGAATAATATAAATAAATGATACTTTTACTTGTAGTACTACTACAGAAATGAGAAAAGTTGTGTTACTAGGGCCAGGTGTAGACTTTCTGCTATCCAATGACCTTGTTTCAAGATTTGTGGAATATTATTAAAATATATATATTAAAGAGTGAGACATTTATAACAGTAGGAGAAGAAGAAAATAACAAGTCTTTTGGCATAAATCACACATTTTATTTGATATTTCTAAAACATACACCAGGCTTGTCCCATCATGGTAACATTATATAACCAGCGCCAGGAATATAAATGCACTTTAGAAAGATACAAAGTGTGTTGTGTGAGATGTGATGAAACTAAGGAATGCAAACAGGAAAACATCTGAATATCCTCAACACAAACACCATGTGACTTTTACTCATGCTTTTATTCTGAAGTTCTTTTTTTTATTTGCCACCATACTAATCAGAAGTATTTTCAATGATGAACCTTAATATATGAATCGTGAAGTGTTGCCTACGTCCATTTGATTTGACAGTGACACTAAAAATAACAAATAATTAGAATGCTGATTTACGCCTTAGTCATTCTGGCTTACAATACGTTTCCCTCCTGATGAAAATGAATGCCTGACTAACTTCCAAACCAAAGCTCTCAGTTGAAGCTGGCTTTCCTGTAGGTGACAACAGCATTTCTACTTTATTCTTGCCCAGTGTAAAACATGGTGCTTTAAATCATTGGCGTGCACCAGTCGGACCTAGAATACAGGTTGAAAGGGCTTACAGGAAACCTAGTGTAATGACAGGCATTTACATCACAATATCAAAAGTAAACACAACAAAATAGCTGATCGAATTCACATCATTATTTCCTCACTGTATGAAAATATGATTTGACTGGAAAGAGTCACATAATGGCCTGTAAGAATAATATGGATGCAGTTTATACATTCTATCATAAGAGACTCCTCTCACTGCTGCCTTGTGATGATGGAGGTTCAAACACACTTTCATTGGTTTTCCCTTTTAAACATGTACTTAAGATTCCCAGTAAACATATTTGGTGCCAGTGGCAAACCAGAAAACTGATTTGTAAAATGTGCTAACTCAGTGCATATGGACACTGCTAAAGATTAAGCAAAGAGCGATTCACATCATTACCAAAACGTATAAATCACCAAAACTAAAGCAAGCATGTGCCTGACCTTTAATAGATTCTGAAAAGATACACAAGTCGAAAGCAGATATGTGATATATTGGTCATTGCCAAAAAACATCACGAGTCCTCAATATGTGCAATATTCAAATGAAAAACTGTCAACATACGATGACTGGAAGTCTCACATTTAAAGTTACTAGGGGGGGCTCTACTGAAAACCACTTCTATTTAAAACCTACTGATCTAAAAAAGTCCTGTAATGAACACCACCTCACTACAACATTATCAAGACTGCTTTTTTCAACATGTGCAATATGTTCCATATGTAAACAACACACTGAGGGGGGCAGAGCTCTAGCTATGGTGGGGGGGTTGGCTGAGGGATCTGTTTGGACGTGGCAGGGGGGGGCTGTTCAGCTGATGGTCGTAGGCTGGAGGGTGTCTGTGGTCAGAGACGGTCCTTTCAACTGAAACACAAATCACATGATTTACTAAAACTCTGTTCCCTCTGTCTGATCAAGAGCATGCTATGATGCCCAATAGAAGAGCGAGTGTTACATCGTGATGTCAATATGATGAAGAAGAAAACAAAGGAGGCGTTTCAGGCGAGGGGAGGAGTGTGGGAGAGAAACTCCCTCTGGAGGGAACATGGGGATTTTAGCCTCTGCAGACCATTTACATGCACTGAAACCTATAGAACACACTAGAGGAGAGGGAGAACCCAAAAATCAGAATAGGCTTCTTTCATTTGCCGTTTTCTTTAAACCAATGACAGTTGTGTGATTTGGTTCAAAGACTCACAAAGGGAGGTAAGCGGACCTCAGCATTTAGTCAAAACACTGATATCTATTTACATTACAGGAATGGGTAAATGATCTATGTCAGGGGTCACCAACCTTTTTTAGGATGAGGGCTACTTTAAAAAAATAAAACAAGTCGTGAGCTACTTTCACTCCTCTTTTTTTTGTTTTTTGCAGTGTATATATTTATCACATTTTAACATTATTATATGCTACCTTTAACCTTTGTGTGCTGTTTGGGTCTGTGGGACCCGTTTGCAGTGTTTACTAAAAGAACATGTTGCAATTTAATTATTTTAACCTGCTTTATTGGGGGGTGGACCTCACCTCCTCTAGGGGGGCCTCACATCCTCTAGGGGGGTCCTCACATCCTCAAGGGGGGTCCTCACCTCCTCTAGGGGGGTCCGGGGGCATGCACCCCCGGGAAGATGTTTTTTAAAATGTTGAAGTGAAATGCATCAATCTGGTGCACTTTGAGCACAAAATCAATTTATGGATACAGCTCTCAACTCTCAGATGAAAGGGAGATGTATACTTTTCAATAATCCAAACATCTTTAGAATATCATCACAACCAACAACAAATCATTTAAACTCGTTTATTCTTATCTTATGTTACCTAGTAGTTAGCATTCTTTATTTTTCTTTATGCATATTTTACTAATCACTCCCCTTTAAACTGTTTGTTGTACTGTCCTATAGTACACATTGGAATGATTTCTTACTTTATCTATATTACATAGATAAAAGTGTGCTCTCCCTAGCTCTCTCTCTCCCTCTCTCCCTCCCTCGCTCTCTCTCTCTCTCTCTCTCTCCCTCTGTATCGCTTGCTCACAGAGACTGTGTGCTCCTCCGTGGCGAGGACGGCTTGCGTTAAAAAATAATAAACATATTTGTAAAGTGGGGGGACACAAACGCGATTTCAAAAAGTGCGGGGGACATGTCCCCCCCCCCCCCTGTCCCCAGTGGAGATTACGCCATGCGTGTGTGTGCGTCAAGTGGAATAAATAGATATGCAAGTTACAACACACAGAGTAAAACTCTGCCCCTCATGTGCTGTATAGGCTGGCATGATAGGCTGTTCAATGGGGCTGATGTGTTGTGTAGATTCTACCAGAAGGAAAATCAGCGGGGAGGTGCCACATTGGTTTTCTTCCCGACTGCAACGCTGGTCCCGCAAATCAAGCAAGAACGTGATTGGTCGATATTCATTGTGGGGGTGGGGGAGGAGGGGCGTTAGATATAGAGTTGTCGTAAGTAGATAGAGTTCGCTATGATTTATGTGTCGTTTATGCATAGGGTAGATTCTTTTAATTACATTTCCTAGTTTAACAGATTTACAGTGAAGTGATGTTATTTTCTGAATTCAACAGTTTTTTGTTGTTGTGTTATTTCCTTTGCCCGATTATGTAATTTGTTATTACATCAATTATTATTGGGGGGGCGTCCGGTGCCTTGCTCAAGGGCACCACGGCAGGGCCCAGGAGGTGAACTTGGACCTCTCCAAGTACCAGTCCTCTCCATATTTTAAGTCTGTTTGGGGACTTGAACCGGCAGCCCCACAGCTCCCAGTCCAAGACCCTACTTACTGAGCCACTGTCGGATGAATTCAATGAATATTGCTATTATCATCTATTTTTTCCAGGCTGGTCATGTTGTGAGCATCTGATATCATGACAGCATTCTCTCTACTTCTGCATATAAGAAGCTTCATGTATGTTTAAGGCATTCGAGTTACAGCATCAACAGGAAATATTAGAATGTTGGACAAACACACATCCAGAAAAATGTTTCTTCTACTAAGCAGCTATGGACAGCTATTGCATCTTATTCTATCTTATTTGTCTGGTAAACTATGTACTTATCTACTAGAATAGACTCAAACCCGTGACCTATCCAAATTCGTGTATAGACTGTTATTTTTATGTATTTACTGTTGTGCCTATTCATACGTTATAATGTGTCCATATATGTATCCAGTATGTTTCAATATATCTGTATGAGTATGTATACATTATATATATATATATATATATATATATATAAGTGGGTTTTGAAATGTGTATGTATGTATATATATATATACATATTTGAGATGACCTTTGTAGAGAAATAATCTTCCAGCAGAATCCTGAAGACCAGAGGACTCCCTCTACAGGCAGACAGAGTGAAGGAGGACCGACTCACTTGGTGGGCACGGTGGGCGAGCCGGAGCGGTGGAAGTGGATGTTCTGCCACTTGCTGTCGCGGCGGTGCCAGATGCGGGTCTCCTCGGACTGCATAGTGCGGGGCATGCGGTTGCCGTCGATGTACTGGGTGAGGCGGATGTAGGCGATGCAGGCCGCCTCGTCCCCGATCAGGTGGACGTGGGGGTTCAGCAGGATGGTGTGGACCGGCTGCTTGGCCTTGGACAGAGCTGCAGAGAGGAGCAGGAAGGACGGAGAGTCATGGGACCGCTCCTCAAAGGATCACATCTGCAGGCTCATGCTAATACAGACAACATTACATTACATGTTACTTGTTAGACGCTTTTATCCAAACATACTCAGTAGTTGTTGAGTAGTACAACAAATACAATTTAAAGGTCACCTATTATACTCTTTTTCAACATTATACTAAAGGTCTCAGATATATCCAGAACATGTCTCTCATTGGCTGAAACACCAAACAGATCATTGCAGCATCCCATAATCCCCTCTGTTTCAGCCCTGCTCCAAAAGTGCTGATTCTGTGTCTGTAGCTTTAAACGCTAATGAGCTGCTGCTGGCCACGCCCCTCTGAGAGATGATTGGTTTAAAAAAAAAAAAAACACAATGGTGCTCTAGGGGGAGATTCAGGTGATAAAGTGGGGGGGGGTTACCTTGGTTGGTTATTGGCTAATGGTTGCACAACCCAAACAAACATTGTGACATTACAAAGTGGCCAAAATCTGATCAGCTCATTTTCAGACAGGTACATACAGTAAAGATGGATCAGGACAAATAAAGAGGGGTCTTTGTTCCTGTTTCAGAGTCTCTTCACACACATATTTATGGATACAATAAATGAAAAAGTGGATTTTGAATAATAGGTGTCCTTTAAAGCAAAACAATCTGCACTGATAGATACAAACACTGACAAATCACTGCTGGATACTTGCAAGCAACGGTACTTTTGAACACTTTTGTGGAGGCCCGAGTGGATCAACAGCTTAACGAACAAGTGTGCAGGGAAACGGAGCTCCACTATGGTTTTTACCAGAAATACGACTGGACAGACTGGACTTTAGCATTAGCTTCCATGGTGATGGAACAGGACTTATCATTGGAACTGAAAACTCAGATCATCTGTACAACAGAGTAACTGAACTCTTCTTGAGGAGAGAAAGGAGGAGGGATTTGGTGTAGAGATAATCAAACGTATTGGTGAGTATAGGCTATAATGACTTTAAAAATATATTTTTTTTCTTGTCATTTCATTAAATAAATATTGATGCTTCTGCTATAGATGATGTGTGTGGCTGCAGTGAAAGGAGACTGAATTATGTTATTTGGGTTTCTTCCTTTAGTAATGGCATTCTTTCTCGCTACATTAGATACCTGTCTGTGATGCAACACCCTGTTATACTGCGTTTCTGTACAATATGAATGGTTTCTATAGCCACGACGTCATAATAATGGTTTTGAGAGGTGGATTTATTTGAACACTACTGAAGGCCTATGTGTGAAATGCACGGCCCAGTACTGCTGTAATGAACCTACTGTAATCATTATTGCATTTATTACAGTTACCATGCGTTCATTTTGATTATTTACCGTTCTCAAAGTAGAAGCGGTGGAAGTCGGTTCCCTCCACCAGGTTTCCCAGGGCCTCGGGCTCAAAGGAAGTGAGCCCCGGATCACAGATCTTCCTGAAACACAACACCAGGCACACATATCAGAGTCAGGGGAACATTTAGAGTGGAACCCATGGGAAAGAGGTACTCAAGTAAAAGTAGTAATACTACATTGTACAAATACTCACTCCTGCATTCAAAATTGGGGATTATTTAATGGCAGTTTGTGATTTTGAGGCTATTTCAGTGAAACAAGGCCGTTTTGAACATTTGACAGATCTATAATTAATTCTCTCAAAAAGTTACTGAAAGATACACTTTTGTGTTTAAAAGCTGACCACTACCATGAAGTACTTTTATTCTAGTAGATTTAGTTAAGACTCTTAAATGACTTGGTATCCTGCCCAGTATCTTAACCTATAATAATACATATTCCGTATTATAAATCCATACCTGAAGAAGCTAGTTACCAAATCTGTTAAAAATGTTGTGGGGTAAAAATAAAGAAAATGTAGCAAAGTATACAGTAGCATAACGTGAAAATACTCAAATGTACAAGTAACTCAAATTGAACTTAAGTACAGTGCATGAGTTAGAAATGAACAACATCTGAAGTCTGTCAGATAGTTGAGGTTAATAGTAACTAGTTACTAACGTGTATGTTTCCAGGTCTCCATTGTTGATGGCCTCGATCAGCTGCTCGGTGACTTTAATGATCTCCTGCTTACGAGCTGAAACACAGACAGGAAAACAAAGGGCTGTTGGATTAAATGAGATACAAATTAAATGATAAAACAAATAAAAGAAGCACAACTCAAGGTTCAAATGGCAATGTAAAAATGCACGACGACATTGACGCAGAATCACAACGTTTAGGTACTGAGGTCATCGTCCAGAAGGACTGGTAGGAAGTTAGTGAGCGTGGTTCAACATTTAACATCAACATTACCTTTCATGCTAAGTAGGTGAGCTAGGAAACAATGAATTGAAAGAATAAGTGCTGTTGTATGCTTGGTAAGGGCACACCCACTTCTAACTTTACACTATGGTTATGACAATCAAAGTCAAGGAGTGAGACATTCTTTACGCACACTCATAGACAACGTTGTAATAACACATGTTTACCTGCAACAGCTGGATTTGAACTGTTGTCTCCAGCTAACTGCACACTGACAGTCCGTTCCAGCTGTGCACTGATCCCCTCCAGTGACAGAAGGACCAACACACTGACTGCAGGAAGGTGAACCATGCTGCCTCTAACTTAGCGCTCTGTTGGAGACTGAAACGTGCAGCTGCAGCCTCAGACAGACTTAGGGAAGAGCTGGCTACAACCACAGTGCTCTCCTATGATTGGCTAACATAAGCCTTACGCAGCTGAAATGATGTGGTGGACTTTACTTTGCAAACAGAAACTTAGTGCTGACTATTTTTACAGAGGCACTATCAGTTTGATAATGGGGCCTTTTGGGTGCGCTTACAAAACTGCACATAAATGTGTCATACGCTTTGTCCGCTTTAAAAAACACATATCAGAGCGAGTGCCGTTTAGTCTTGATGTCTAGATGCCACCTGTAAATGGGCGGCACCAACACTTCAGATGTTCTGTTTTTAACTGCTTAAACTATATGACTATGGTCTATAAGCTTCTTGTGTAAGATGATCCCTTCTTTCACATAACTGTATCAGGTTAGTTTCATCCAATAATATTAAGAATATGTTTTCAGCCCAAACAAGCTCAATGATAGACTCAATTGTCATTTTGCATCGCTTCTGACGCTTTTAGAATTCACCGTTTTATTTTGCGTTGAACTAATCAAACAGTAATTGTTGACATCTTTTTCTCACCTTGGAGTGATCTCATTGGGCAAATATCTGCTCAGAGAATAGCTTTATCAAGGTTGTGAATGTGACAAACATTTGATGTAAGCCAGATTTGTTGTCAGATGTATTTGATGTTAACTTCCACTTGTTGTATGCAAAGAAACCTTTAAACGTCGGACTATCTTTGAAAGAGTGTTTTTCTGTGGTAAATCTATGGTTTTATTTAAGTTATATTCTTTGAACAATTGTTCCACTACTGGAACTGCAACGGTAGTAATAATATCACAGATCAACTTAAACCCAACTCCATCATTTCAACTGAGCAACAAAGCAGAGGACGACGTGTTGGTGTTTCACTCCTCCTGCCGTTACAATACGTGAGAACAGAGGAAATAGGATCTTGCCCGATAGTAACTGGACAGGTTTTTCATGGTGTTTATCAGCCAGTCGAGTGAACTATGAGTCGCAGTAAGAAGAGCTTGGATTATATCTGGACAATATGCTCATGCTCCGCTGTACATGTGGAGTGGAAATAATGCCTTTTGAGCGGTATAACAAAAAGTCTCCTTTGGGATTTGGTATAAGAGCACGGACAGAAAGATAAAGGCTTAGCACACACACACACTAATGCACAGAAACACACGTAGCAGATGGTGATAAATACAGAGAAACTGAGCAGAGTGATCCTTTGCAGTAGTAAGACTACAACACCGTGTACCGTTACTGCATGAAGAGATGATGGGTCACACACAAACACAATCAAATACTTTTCTTGTAGTATTTGTTGTGCTACTCTTTTCATCTCAAATTAGCAGAATTCAGATATTTCTGTGAAGACTGAAACTAATACTATGGCCGTACTTCACTTCCCTTCTTTTTTTACATAACAGAAGTGTGCAATATTTCCATTTAAGCAATAAACTGCAAAATGACGAACACTTTCAATGCCAGCATTCAGTACCTTAACAATGACCTGTGCTACAGACAAGTGATTTGATTTGAAACCTCATCATAACCATACATTGAGTCATTGTTTCTTCAGTTCAGAATTCAAGCAGTTCAAAGACTTCTTCTACATCTGCTTTCTCAAAGCTTGACTCCAACAACTAATTACTAACTGCTTTAACAATTGTAAGATGGTGAAAATGTTTTAGTTTATACAAAGCCGGTGCTAACGCCATTGTTACTTTGTGAAATAATCTTTAAATTCTTTGAAAAACATTTTGTAAAAAGAAAACGTTGCCAAACAAAGACCATGCCTGTGAGTCAGATGGTGCCTGGTGTGAGGTGACGGACATAAAGGCATGGAACCACCAACCTAAACCCAGCTGGTGTAGTTACAGCCTCTGACCTGTGGGGGGCGCTGTGAGGCAGCAGCTCTGCACTCACAGCAGCTGAGGTTCAAAAAATGTCACACAAGTGTATATATAATATATATATATATAAGCTTAGTTGAAAGCAATAATATTTAAGTTGAAACCTTTTTTTATTTAAACTTAATATTATTCCTTTCAACTAACCTAATGGAGTTATGTGTCATTTGCTGACATAAGAAATGTAATTAGAGTCAACGCTTCAGTTGTTTCAGTCTGTGTACAGTCTACTTGGCTTGGGAACTGAAGCGTCGCCATTTCAAGTCGTGATCGCACGATGTGGACTGGTATCTGGAGAGGTGTCCTTGAGCAAGGCACCGAACCCCCAACTGCTCCCTGGCAGCCTGTTTGCTCTGGGACCTCTCCATAATAAATGGATGTGTGTTTGTGCATATGTGTTTTCAGACTTGTTGTGTACAAGTCCCCTGCATATGTGTATTTGTACTGTGTGCATGAACGGAGCAAGAAACTGAATTTCCTCATGAGGATTTAAAAAAACAAAAGGGTCTTCCGTCTTCTTTTCCGTATTGTTGATGGCTTCTTTACCCTATCAATACCCAGGGAACGTCCAGAGGCTGGGGGCACATTCCTCTGTGAGCACATTGTTTACGTTGATGCTGTCATCCACTCGTCTGACCACACAAGCCTTCTGCTATGAAGAGCTTTCCCAAGCGTCAATCATCATCTTCACTTTTGACATTTCTAACCCTTTTTGATGGGTCTACTCTAAATGACGCACCCTCACAGGGAATACATACACACATCTTGGCTAGGCCCTGTAACAGACACTTTAACATGACATCAAGAATTAACAGGTCCATTCAAGAAATTCATAAATGATAATTGGACTTAATAGAAAAACCAAACACATCTGTATCTTGGGGGGTGCAGTCATTTGACAGGATGTGTCCATGTGTGAAATGGATGTAATCATGGTGTGACATTGGTGTCAAATAGGTCCAATAACAGTGTAACATTGATGAAATGGGGTGTATTATAATATAGGTGAAATAACAGTGATATATGAAAGAAATGTAGAAAATAGCAATTGATTATTTCCCAAAATACTTTATGACTACGGATTTAAGTGTTAAAAAGCTAAAGTGATCCATAAACTATAAAGTAAAACTAACATATATTCATTTACTTCTAAATGTCAAAGGGAGAGGGAACTCTGGGAAATGGACTTACATTGGGAGTCAGCGGGGCCCAAGCTGGGCAGGGGCACCGCGTGCTGGGTGCCGGACCCCTGGTGGGGGCCACAGTGGCATGTGGTGGAATGGTCAGAGAAAAGCAACAGACATAAAGATGCGAAGAAGAGGAGCAGGTAGGCCGTCCACAGAGCCAACAGGAAGTACTGAGAGCACTCCTCAGCAGGGGGCCAAACGCTGGGAGAGTACCAGCAGGAGGAAGAGGAAGAGGAGGAAGGGGAAGGGGAGGGGGAGGGGGAAGGGGAGAAGGAGGGGAAGGGAGGCATGTGAAAGGTGGGCTGCTCTACATCCTTAAGGAGATAGATCTGAGGGCCGGGCGAGGCACTTTTTACTGAGATGAAACGGGGTAAGAGGAAGAGGAGGACGAAGCAGGAAAGACAGACATGAAATGGAGAAAAGGAAAAACATGAGATGGAGAATGAATGAAAGGCATGCAGGAAATGACAATTTTTGAAAGCCCTAGAATTCTTAAGATGGTGGTAACCAAAGTGAGAGTTGGACTTATATTCAACAGCTGGACTCAAATCCTCTTCTGTGGAAATCATTTGCCCCCAACCACCCCCTTTCCACAAAGCCACCAAACCAACATAGTTTCCACTTTACTAAAACCCTTTAGTGCAGAGAAAACAACAGGAAGCCATTAACCATCCATCCTCTCAATGGTGCAAATGAGTCATATCAAAGACATTACAATTCCTGCACTTTTATCTTCCCACTTCCTGCCCCAGACAAGACCATTAACAAAGGACAAACGATGTCAAGATCAAAATCATCCTCAATTCAGAATCCTTCCAAGCCTCTGTGTCGGCTCGGATTCATTCATTCAAGAAAGAGAAGTATCTGTATTAAAGTATGATATGAAAGATAATATCAGAAAAATCCTGACGAGGTAAAAATGGGACAATTACTTATTGTAGTGTTCAATAGCATGTCCTATTTGTTTTCAAAGCAGTGTATAAGCTTCGCTGAATACGGCTCCAATCAGCCATACATAACAATGGAGGCCATAATGAAGAGCGGCCGTGTCCCTGTGGTGTACTGCATGGAGGCATACATACATGCTTATCCACAAAGGATGAACACACTTACACAATGTAAACAATTTGGAGACTTGAATCTCATTTGAAAGACTTTCTGTTCTATCAAAGGTCACTTCAGTTTGAACAGTTACAAAAACACAAAGACACACCATCCATCCATCCATCCATCCATCTTCTCCCGCTTATCCGTGGTCGGGTCGCGGGGGTAGCAGTTCCAGCAGAGAGCCCCAAACTTTCTTTTCCCTGGCGACATCAACCAGCTCTGACTGGGGGATCCCAAGGCGCTCCCAGGCCAGCGAAGAGATATAATCCCTCCACCTGGTCCTAGGTCTACCCCTTGGTCTCTTCCCAGCTGGACGTGCCTGGAACACCTCCCTAGGGAGGCGCCCAGGTGGCATCCTAACTAGGTGCCCGAACCACCTCAACTGGCTCCTTTCAACGCGAAGGAGGAGCGGCTCAACTCCGAGTCCCTCCCGGATGACCGAACTTCTCACCTTATCCCTAAGGGAGACACCAGCCACCCTGCGGAGAAAACCCATCTCGGCCGCTTGTATCCGCGATCTCGTTCTTTCGGTCATGACAAAGACACACAATAATGAATAATATCCCCCTGTTGGACAACTCGGAGACAAACATCACATCCACTTGGCTGAAGTCCAGCAAAAATGACCTCTCTTTTGTTTCGCCTCACTTTGTCATGCAGAGTATCAGATGTTGGTCTGGGGATATCACAGTTAACAAGAGCAGCCTTAACTCTTCCTCAGATCTGTGTAGTCCAGGTTTTTCTGTATTGCCATCAAAATGTGACTTAGATAGATAGATATTTTATTGATCCCAATTTGGGAAATTATTTTGTTACAGAAGCAGTGACTTGACTGAAATGGTTACATTTGGAGTGTTCATTTTTAGGAACTCACCGATTACTTGCTTGATATCTTTGTTGCTCATAATATTTCCTTTACATAGACTTTCACTTCCTGTAAATATAAGTTGTCCAAGTGTCCACCGACTTCTAGAACTTTGGTATTGGATTTATTTTGAAAAATGAGTTTGAGAGGAGGCTAAATCACCAAAGTGGGCAAAGGCTAAGGCTGTGGATATTTCAAAACCTTTTTGAGAAGCATTCATAACAGGTGCACCACTTCCTGAGTGGAGAGGTCAGAGCGTTACACCTGATGTTAATGTTGTTCATACTGTGGATTCTCAATAGGTACAACACCAGGAGTCACTGTTTGGTGTGAGTAAAGAACAGTTCAAAAAGACAGCTGGGACTCATTTCACCCACCAGCAACTTTACCATTAACTATTTTCATTACGAGAATAAGGACAATTAAAAAATAAAAATATTACACATTACAAACACTAAATATAAAATAAAATAAATAACACCTCTTAGCCCTACAATGGTGTCTTGTGTAAAACTCTTTCTATTGCATAATTATATGAAACATATGAATAAAAAAAAGTAACAATAAACAATGTTCCTATAGGCTTACGGTGTGCAATGTATGTTACGGCTGTCAAAATCTATTCAATAAATGAACATCAAGTTCCCAAAGGTTTTATTTGTGCTCGTCATATAGACTTTCACACAAATCCGGTGGTTTTGCTAAACTCATTTTGATGACGCCATATTGAAATAAACCTCTGAGCTTTGGTGACACATCTGGCAGTATCATACCATGTTTACAGTGTGGGGCTGTGTGCAGATCGGACCTCCTACTGTGACGCTTCCACACAAACAATTACCATTACAGACCTAATTCCCATCCATGTTACACTAAATGAGCACAAACAGGGGGGTGAATATGGGCCCGCAGGTACATCAATCCTGCCATGATACAGATCCAGATAACATGCGACACATTCATGCAAAAGCCTCTGGTGGAAACCATGTCTAAACATAATAATAATGCTAGTTCTCCCAAAGAGGTGACGTTAAACCTGTTAACAGAGGAGTTATATTTGTTAGAGTAAAGCTCCTACCTCTCACATCCTCGTCCTCGATGGTGGTGTTGGTGCTCTCACTGGACTCCTGAGGAACCACAGAGAGACACATGAGTATGACCAGCTGACAGTAGATGCACAAATAAGCTGAAGACAGACATTGAGTTGAACTGATGCTCTTTGTTGGTTCACAACAGGTCATTTTTTTTATCCTAAATTGGGTTGGACCTTTAATAAAATGTAACTTTACCAGAAAGATGGTGAGAGGAAACATGAAGAAACCATGCTGTGATAAAAGGGGAACTTCCTTTGGTTTGGTTTGGAGAGCACCTTACAGTATGTATCTGGTAACACAGTGGTGGCTGACATGAAGTCTAACTGGGTTAGAAACATCGTTGTAAAGAAGCCACCAGTTTATTCAGTGTATCTAAACTTCTGTTTGCAAACTTTTGGCTACACTTCTTTGACATTTGACACATACAGTACTAAGAGACACATTTTACAAATGGTGACACTGTTTCTAACTTAATGCAAACACACATTGCCATATGTGCAAAGATATGTCAACATATCTACAAAAGCACCATGGGAACAAAACTAAACACAATGTAGTGTATTAACTGTTTATTAGCTTGACTTCTTGTTCTTGATTCTGGACCTGTTTGACATGTTCCCAGATCTCAGGTATAACTTTCAGTAGACACAACATCATGTAATGTATCCTTTGAATTTAAACTACATCCATAAAACATCTACAATGTGAAATGGCACATCACTTTCTCAATGATCCTTCTGCTTGAGAATATGAAATAAGCTGCACACTCTTCATGTACTGTATAAAGCTATACAACACTTACCATGCCAAGGAACACACACTGTATGCTACACTATGGGCTACAACACCACCATGTCACTGCACAAAGCATGCACATGCTCCTACATTGTTATCTCATGGTCTATCCCTGACAGTAGAGATCCATGAATGATAATGTAGATTCATGGACCGCACAGACGTGGCAGATGGGATTCTGTAAAGCGTTGGTGTCCATGGTATTGCATGGTCATCATTCTGTTCAGCATGCATAATCCCTTTGTCAGTCAAGTATAAAACACTATCATTTTACAATGATAGTACGTGTTTTTTTTAGTAGGTTGAAACATTTGCTACAGATATTACATGATAGATCAACATTGAGCGTAGTAAGTTAATCACACATGTGTAAGCATAATGTTGAGTCTCAGTATAACATGCAACAGTAGATACAACATTTCACAGCAGTAGCATTGACCCGCATTCAGTCACATGATGACATGTCCATCACCAAAAGCACAAACACAACCCCAGCAGGAGCATGGAGGCTCTACCCTAAAAAGGCGCACACTCAGCAGCAGCCTCAGAGCAGCTCAGCTGATACCTTGTTTCCATCAGCCGGGTTGTGGATAACAGTAGTTTGAGGCTCCTGATTTAGAAGGACCAATAGTAGGAAGAAAGGTTGGTGCAGAACAAAGTGAGTTAGGAAAAGCTTGTGACAGAAGAGCATTTTGAAAGAAAGAAAAAACAAGGACAAAGGGAAAACCGACATCTTGAGAGGAAAGGAAGTCGGGTCTAAAACAGAATCACTACAGAATACTGAGCCACCACTACAGACACACGAGTTGTTAAGAAAATAGCAATATTGACGATTCCATGTCAAGTCAATTATATCAAGTATTTCACCACAAATGATCACGTTTTACCAAACACTGACGACAACATGAACACCATGGAAATAATCTGTAAACAAATGTATGTTTCTTAAAACAGCGGTAGAACAAAATCACATTGTTCTACAGCTAAAACATTCAGAAAACATTCTTCTAAAAAACTAATTTCTCATTAAATTAAATGGCCTTCTCAATTCAATTCAAAACCTTTATTTATCCAGGTAAAATCCCATTGAGATCAATGATCTCTTTTTCAAGGGAGACCTGCAGCAGTAGGTTCCACAAGAAGACATAAACAACAGAACAACAAAAGGACATCATACAGCAAAATGTACAGGGATTACAATTTACATATTTAACCACAAGTACAGGTACCAACAGCATCTGATTGTGTAGCATCCAACCGAGCTTTAAAAACATGTAGTGGTACTAGCTTGGTAATTTTCCATTCTTTTTGCAGACTGTTCCATGTTAGTGGAGCTGCACATCTAAAAGCTTTCTTCCCTAAGACAGTCCTAGCACTTGGCACATTTAATAAAACCACAGCATGCGATCTCAGGCAATAAGTACTTTCAATTCGCAGAGAGATCAGGGAGCAGATATAAGATGGTAGTTTATCCAACATGGCTTTGTAAATGAAAAAGTACCAGTGACTGAGCCTCCGTACAGTAAGTGATGGCATAACCGCCTTGGTATACAGGGTACAGTGATGCGTAAGTGCTTTACAATTTGTCACAAATCTCAGTGCACTGTGATACGCAGCATCTAACTTGCTCAGGTAATTGGCAGGTGCATTCATATATAACAAATCACCATAGTCCAGCACAGGTCAAAAGGTCACAGAGCCTTTTCCTGGCCTCAAGAGAGAAACAGGACTTATTTCTGTAGAAGAAACCTAGCCTAACCCTCAGCTTTTTAAGCAGGTTATTGACATGAAGTTTAAAAGTGAGACAATCATCAAGCCAGATACCAAGGTATTTGTAACAGGTAACCACTTCAAGTTTTATTCCTTGCGTAGTTACAATATCCAAAGCAGTCTCCGGTGTATTTTTAGCTTTAGCTTTAGAAAAGAGCATTACCTTGGTTTTATCCACATTTAAAAGAAGCTTTAGTTCAGAGAGCTGAGCCTGAATAATGTTAAAAACAGCCTGTAATTTAACAACAGCCTCGTTAATCGAGGGACCTGCACAGTACATAACGGTATCATCCGCATAAAAATGTAAGGTTGCTCCTTCGACATTTTCACCTAAACTATTAATATAGATAGAGAATAATAGCAGACCTAAAACTGAACCTTGTGGAACACCATTAGTGATGTTTAAATCACTCAGAAGACAGCCCATCAAAGTGAACACATTGGGATCTTTCAGAGAGGTAGTTTACAAACCACCCACTGCATGGCTGGACATGCCTATACTTACCAGCCTCTGCTTCAAAATGCAATGATCAACGGTATCAAAAGCTTTGATAGACACAAATAGAGCTGCACAACTCTACTTATTATCTAAAATACTCATATCATTCACCACTTTCATTGTGGCAGTGGTGGTGCTGTGTTGCTTTCTGAAGCCTGACTGATGTTTAGACAGGATGTCATTTTTACATAAAAACACCTTTACCTGTTCACTCACGAGGCGTTCAAGAACCTTGGCCAGAACTGACAACTTAGAGATAGGTCTATAATTGTTTAATAAGGTGGCCTCCCCTCCTTTTAGTAGTGGCAGGACATACGCTGACTTCCATACTTTTGGGATTTTGTTCGTGCTGAGAGAGAGGTTAAAAAGAGTAGTAAGAGGTGGAGCAATAAAATCTGCAGCTATCTTTAAAAAGAAAGGTTCTACGTTGTCCGGACCAGCCGGCTTTTTAGGATCTAGCTTGGTTAAGACTTCACGAACAACATCAACAGTAAAAGGAGTAAACTGAAAGGGTTTTCCAGACCACATTGTTCTGAGTCACCGACTGTGGTGTTCACAGAAGCAGAATTAGAAACAGAATGAAACAGAGAGCCACAGGACACAAAATGCTCATTAAAACAATTTAACATGGTAGCCCTGTCCGATATAGTGCCAGATACTGTGGTAAGACACGGAGGTAGCTCATTACGGATATCACCGGTGGATATCGATTTTATGGCTTTCCAGAATTTTCTAGGGTTGTTCAGGTTCTTTGTGGTTACTGACAGATAATACTTAGATTTAGTACTTTTGACATGTGAAGTGAAGCTATTTCTTAGCTGCCTAAAACGCAGCCATTCTACATCTGAGCCTGAATTCCTAGCCTTTGCCCAGGCCTTGTTTCTCTCATGAAGGAGACTGGACAGATTAGCAGAAAACCAAGGATGTCTCGTCCCTTAACTCTAAATGTACGCAGGGGTGCATGTCTATCAATGATCTCCATAAAACCAAGATAAAAATAAGACCATGCGGTTTCTACATCAGCACACAGATCGATTTTACCCCAATCAAACCCAAACAGATCATGAACAAAACCCTGCTCCACAAAATGTTTTTTGTCTCTCTTGATGATAATGCGAGGTTTAACCTTTTGGACCTTAGTGTCCCTAATTGTGGCTACAACACAATGGTCACTCAGATCATTCGCAAATACTCCCACAGATAAGTATTTATAGGGAACATTAGTTCAAATGAGATCAATTAGGGAGGATTTATTAGGGGACTTAATATTAGGGCTAGTAGGACTGTCAACAATCTGAGTAACATTCAAAGAGATACAAAGGTATTTAAAATCCTCTGACACTGCAGTTAACCAGTCCCAGTTAAAATCTCCAAGTAGCACTATTTCCTTGTAGTCTAGTTGCGATAAAAGATTTTCTAGTGAAGACAAGGAGTCTTTGACAGCTGAGGGGGGTCTGTAACAGCCCACCACCATGACATGTTGCCCCTTTGCCACTTCTATATTTAAGGCTAAAAATTCAAATTGCTTACTGATAGATTTGGAAACTAATGTGGTTACACTGAACTTATTCTTAACATAAATAGCAACGCCACCACCTTTATTAGGCCGGTCGGAACGATACACATTAAAACCATTTAAGGCAATGTCAGAGGCCAAAATAGATTTGTTTAGCCATGTTTCTGATAAGACAATGACGTCATCGTCAGTCGAGCTCACCCAGATGCGGACAAAATCTAGTTTACCTAACAGACTGCGCACATTCAAGTGGATGAAACCCAACCCAGACCTAGCTTTAAAATCAGCAGGAGTAGCGATCTGACTACTACTACTGGGCGGACCAGGGTTAGGTTGTACATTTCCTGACAGTAATAACAACAACAAATACAGGCATCTTTTCCTCTTAAACGACACACATACATTCTCATCTACTTTAGAAACACCGGAAAAGTCTGCGAGAGTGTGATTTGAGCTTAAGAAGCAGTCCTGAAGAACCATCATCGCATCATTACGCTTCGAAGGAAACTATTTTCCTTTTCCAATTCGGATGCATTTTTATACAGATTTACAGTAGGCAGAACGTCTACTCGGTTAGGTTAAAAAAGATCATGGCTTGGGTTACCAAAATGAATTTGTGTACGATTTGAAAAAATAGGTCAATCCTGGCTTTTGGTTCCACACAGGACACAGCAGGTGAGGGTCCGGTGTTGGTTTGATGCATTCATTGACTTCATCCTCCTTACTTTGCTCCCCAAACTATGATTAGTAACGTACGTGTGAACGTCCGAAACAAACGTAATCAGGGAGAACAAACATTGCTGTAGAACACTAAAGGAGAATGCATTTTTTCTAGTAATGTCTTTTTTAAGGTTGGACAGGCAGGCGTTTGACCATTTCCACACAACTCAACATCAAACAACCTGTGTTACTCTGAAGAGAATAACCACCATCAGATGGAAGAGAAGCAACACACCGTCAGGATGGATTTCTCACACATACTGTACATGCTTTTGCACTACAGGTTTTCCTGTCAATGGTGCTATACAGTATAACTGTGTCCCAGCTGACAGGCTTTACTTTGACTAGAATCCCTACAGAGCGAGTCTCTCTGCAGGTGAGCGCTCCGTCACTCTGATGATCACTCTGATGATGTGTGACGTATAATAATGTATCTATGCCACAATTTTAAATGCGGATTTTGTTAAACTAATATGTTTGCGCTGTGGACCAACACTATACATTGATGGGGAAGGGGGTAGCAATAAAGATAACACCATTAAACAGTTACACAACATAACATAAATAATATCGATAGCAGCGTCCCTAGCAACCACCTTGGTAACAATGAAAACGTTATGGACGCAATTTCCTGAAGTAATCTTCGTAATAACTAGTAAAATAAAGATCATGTACATCCACTGCACACATAATCTGAAATAACAACTCATATTTCTCGCATCAAATGACATCAAAACGTATTTTAATGGCCAAACTAACTTTAAAATAGGCATTTTCCACCGAGAATAAAACGAAGTTCGGCCATGTTTTTTTTTTCTGCAGGGAGAAATTTGGAGATCACGTGACAAACGCCAGCCATTGGAATGAATGGAATTGCAGTTGGAGGTCAACCGATTGGTTGACCTCCAACTGAGCTTGAGAACTAATCACGGGGCTTGTCAAACAGAGCACATGGGTTGCGGTCGGATAGTTTAAAAACCAGCTCCTAAATTCTAACCCTATCTCCTATTCCTTGACCTCTGAGTGAAAGGTCACGGGGTTAAGGGATAGTGGATAGGAGAATTCAAAAGGATTTAGGAGAAGAGACTGCGGTACTGTAGAGAATCCGACTACACTTTCACTATCCGACGTGTTTATGATGCGCCAGCGGACGTCATGAATGTGCGTCTGCTGCTGTGGGGAAACTATGGAAACTACAGTTCTCTATACAGCGGACTACAACATGGATGTTTAATAAGAACGAGGGACTACTGTAAACTCATCTAGAGACTCTGCACCGTGCTCTGATGCTGTTGCTTTATGCTTTATGAACGTGGACAACAGAGAAACATATTCTTCATGACCAAAGTTGGAATTGAAATAAAAAAGGAAAGTGAAACTTCTGCTCGTCACCCTCTCCCTCCGGTCCACATTAATACAAATGATCCCAATACGTATGATTGTATGAAAAGATCTTAAAATCAATACAAATGTATTTATTATAAACGTTAGTCCTTAACATCTATCACTGTTTATATCACCATTCAAACATCTTTTAAAAGTTGAACAAACTCCACACAGCTCAGTAAAGACTGTGAGATGTTGACTTTATTTGATCATTTCAGTAAAAACTAACGTTCATATTTCTCTTTTTGATTATAATACTGATGAACGTTCAAAACAAAGCACTTTGGCAACTTACCACATACGTTTTAAAATGCTTAATAAGCACCGTAACTTTCATGATATAATTTCTCCGTCATAATCGTTTGTTTCCGTGAACGGCCGACTTTTGTGTGACGGCAAATGCTGCGGCTGCAAGGCATTGTGGGGCAGCACTTTCTCCTCTCCTTTCGGTTAGGGAGGTCCAGTGGTTCCTAAGCTAAAGGAGGTTATAAAGGAAGTTTGAAACCTCCTTTCCTTTCATTTGGAGAATTGGAACGGCACTTATCATGGCTGCCACTGAGGGACTTCCGGGTCATTTCACTCCGTTAGGAAGGTTCCTAAGCTAAATGGACTATTCGACTTCAGCCATGGTGTAGTCCTAAACGATAGCTGGGGATTCTGGGTAGTGTAGTATCTTCTGCCATCCTTTACTCCGAAAAAATATTTGTTTCTCCGAATCGAAGGTGAAAAATACAAAAGCATTGCACACAATTTAAACCAATCAATGTTGTGTAATTAACAAGGATAATCTGGTGTTTTTTAGTCGATGAGTAGTGCAGATATCACTGTAAAATCAATCGACAGTAAGGGGAATACTTACTTCCGGGTGTACAATTCTCCGTTATCCAATGAGAATGGACGCTCACATTGCCTTTAAGGGCAGCCGACACAAACGAATGCCGTGCTTCCATGAGCATCAAATCCCGCCGCAGATGGGAATACATTGAAATCAGTTGAAAGCTATTTGCGTCCGTTTATGAAGCTGAAGGAGCCTAGGAGCGTCACAACTGGACGCCACGGACACTGACCAAACGTCGCTCCTGGACGATTATGGAGTGAGTGTGTTGTTCTATCATGGGAACCCAGAGGGTAGGAGCTGGAATTCTGGGTGGAGAATGTGGGGAAGGTCAGACACGATGTTGTGTGCCTGTCTAATAATGGACTGCTCATATATGTTTTGGAGAGATGGATGTTTTTAACCCCCATCTGTAGCAGGGGAGCGATCCGTTACTTCAACTGCACTGTCAAGTTACCATCCCAGGCAGTGATTCCATATCTGATGGTGCTCTCCAACACTGCATGGTAAAACAATAACATGAACTTCTGCTCGACTCCGTAAGCCCTGCGACTACGCAAAAATACAACAGCAGTTGAAGTCTAAAGCACAGACCTTCAACATAGACCGTGCTAGCCATTCCAAAGAGCATCTCCATTCTTCTGAAATTCACTAGTCCAACATGAATTCAGTTTGCCTAATCTGGACACAAACTGTACAGATTAAACAAAGCAAGACACGTCACTAGCATAATTGAAATTAATCCACCAACAAATGATCATATTAAGGAGTCAACTACAACTCTGTTGGTGCATTTCAAAAACCTTTACATTACACTCTTAAAAAACTCTTTGAACAATTCACTTCCTGGTTCTGGGTCTTAAAAGAAACATAAATGTGGTGTGTTTTTTGTTCCCATTAGCAACAACGCTCTGTTTTAAGTCTTGCCTGGCTCATGGGTAGTGTATTTTGTGGATCTATTTGGGATACCACAAAAACAAAATAATGTTTAGTGGTTTCAAAATCGTTCTAACAGCAAACCAGAGTTGTTCCCAGTTTGGTTGACAACAACGGATTGAAGCCTGTTGGCCACAGTTTGACGTTTAATGGCACAAGGGTTGCCATTATCGCTATAATCAACAAAGGGAAATGTAGCCCATGTACAGCAATATGGCAATGCACTAAGCAACTGAGAGGTGACGAGGACTAAATACATTTGTGGTTTTTAAACTTTATGGAAAAACAATCAACATCAAGTGAAAACGAAGTGTGTGCCACAGAGCAGTATAATCCGACAGATGCCACTGACAGTGTGGACAGATACAGTCAGACAGACATGCACACATGCAGCGAGGCAGGAGACAGTGTACCAGAGAAGGAGTGGGGGCGGGCTCTTTGGGGCTGGTTACCACATTGGTCTTGTTGTTGATCTGAGTGACAGAGTGACAGACAGGTAGACAGACGGACAAGACTTAGTGTTTAAACAGTCAAGCAGCTGCTGTGGAGGGAAAAGGGAAACGTTGTTCAAGAGAAAGGCCAGTGGTCTGTGGTCCATCTAACATGGAACACTTTGAGTCTGAACATGGTCATACATCCCTGACAGTACAGAAAAACATCACCAACTTTTACAAAGGAAAGAGTTAATAACCAGCACTTTCTTTCAGAGGCTCTTCCACTTATAGAGCTGGAGGAAGAGACAAATGACCTAATTACTCTGCAGAAGAATGATATATTAGGTACAAGTCAGAAATGACTTTTTTTTTTAATTGGATTTACCACAATTGAATCACATTATGCCCTCTCTTTTCTGGTTGCAATATATCTTTTACCCTTGAAAAGCTGTTATAGTGTCTGAGACTGATATGAGACAGCTGACACCAGATAGCATTCTTCAATATATTGATGCTCATAATTTTACTCCAAAAATCAAATCAAATTTCTTATTTGAAGAATGGGTTTTCAATTAATAGCTCAAATAATCTTGATAGAAATTGGGGATATATTGTATTACCTTATCATGTTAGCCAGACATAAAGCTGCTAGGGTATTAGCACGGTGGGGATTCAAGCTAACTGATTATGTCAGGTATGTACCTTTAATTAACTTTGGCTAACTATCCGTTTACATATCTGTAGTGATTTTATTGATTGGGTAGAAACAGTATATGGTAGAATATTCCTACAAGGCCTTCACAGCGGTGTGAGCTAGTATCTACAGCATACAGTAACCACCATCGTAACAGAAACCTGGAAAATGCTAACTGTGTATTTTCACAGGAAGTCGGGTTACTCTTTGTGGTATGAAAACATCACATCCTGAGCACAACCAGCATCATGGAAAAAGACTGAAAATATGTGAGCATGTAAACAGATTTCCAGAAACAGACTCAACAAAGCAGGAACAGGATATGAATCAGTGTCTTAAAAAGAACATGTTGGACTGTTGCCAATCACATATGAAAAGATCTGATTCTGAGTCTGATCATATAGCTTTAGTACTATATACCTGTATAAAAAAGATGACATCTACAGCTTTTTACTTTAACATTTAACTCACAAGTAATAGGGTAACATTTGGATCTCATCCATGTGATACTATGAGGAAAGCTACCTGGAAACCTAGCAGTAAATACAACTATCGACCACATGTTCAGGATTTATTCTTGTGCTGGGTAGACATAACATGACTGTTAACTATAGACAACATTTTTAACAACAGATTTAACACAGTTTTTCTGCTTTTTACAGACTTTAAAATGTGACTTGTGGGCGTAATCTGTTTAAATACATTTAGTCTGTACCTAATAATACAAGGTAAAAGCAGTGCCCTTAGTTTGTCTAATGATGCAGGGCCTCAGCCATGTTTTTAAAAATATACTGATCCTGAGTCCAAAACCACCATCTGGACCTGACACTACAGACAAGGTTTTGCATTAAGTGGATTTATTCAGTAACTTTGTTGGGTCCAAAAATGATCCGATTTAAAAATAGAAGTAAAACTCTTTAAAATCAGTCAATATAAATCTATATACAGTGTGAACAGATTATCCCAGTATCCCAGCAGCATAAAGGAAGTGGAGCCACACTTCCTGTATGTTGTCTGTAAGTCATGCAGTGTCTTGCCAGCCTGAAGCTGCTGTGTTGGGATTCAAACACAATATTTCTACTGCTGACCAACTACCACTGCAGGAGTCAGCTGCTAACAGGCAGCAGCAGCATACCCTGAAATACTCCACACCGTCCGTCCTCCTTTTCTGCGGTGAGCAGCCACAACACAGCAGGGGAGAGGAAGTTATCCTGACTGTGAAACACCACCTCACACCCCCATGTGCTCTAGCTTTTACAATCTTAAGGCTTGTTTGCAATAAGAACACACAGGTAACAGATCAGCCCTTAATAATGACATTAAACAGAGGTTGAGTAAGTATGCAGATCCTTTACTTATGTAAATGACTACTAGTACTCAAATGTAAAAATACTCCATTACAAGTAAAAGTATTGCATTGACAATGGTACTTAAGTACAATTATTTAAGCATGATCAGGAAAATGTACTTTAAATATTAGGAGTACAAGTACTCATTACAGGAAAAAAACAATAAATATTTAAATGAAAGAAGAAATTATTCACCTTTGAAAAAACTCGAACTGTGAAATATATTTACACAAAAAATTACTTAAACAATTACTATAATTGCTGCCGGATTATTGTTTAGTCAACCCACTGCTAGTTTGTGTAAATATAGTTTTGAATAGTTTAATCTACATCAAAACACCTTATTTGAAAAATTCTTTATAAGTTGTGTGTAAAAAATCTACATTTATTTATTATTATATATATTAACTCAGTAAAAAGTACAATTGCTTTGAATTGTATTAGACTCTAGTATAAGTATAAAGTACCTCAAAAGGACTTGAGTAAATGTACTTGGATACTTCCCACCTCTGGTCATCAACCATTCAACGCAGTGTCTTTAGCACTGGTTGAAACCATTCAAAGAACATGAACTCATTGGGTGTGATGGGAAACTTCTACTCCGTTTGGAATAAAGAGTGATGTAGAGAGTTAAAGTGAAGTCATTCAAGTAATTAAGAAGACAAACAGGGGACAACAGGAAGAAAAGCACATGAATCATTCAGGCAGCTCCATTGGTACCTCTTTAACATGGGCACTGCAAAGGAAAGGACCTGAAGATGATGCAGTGGGATTCAGACTTTTCAGATCAAATTACTTTTAATCCCCATAAAACTTTGCAGCTCCAGTATTTTTTAGGTTGTTTCACTTATTTACACAACAAATTGCAGCAGCATAGAACGCAACAGGCAGATGTTCTGATAAACTAATGGGAGAGGGGTCTGCCTGCAGACCTCCACTCTCAGGACACCTCCACTGTCAGTACAGGAAGTGACGATTCAGGATTCACGATTAGTGACGAACACGTTATTTTGCATTTCCTGTTTCGGAACTGTTACTGTGATATTAACTACAATACAAGGTGTCCCTATATATATATATATATCTAGCGGTAGAAACCGGGTGAAATAGCCACACAAAAAACCCCGGGGAAAATAGGGGAGAAAGTGAAAAAAAGTGTCCGAAAATAGGCACTCGTGAGGCGGGCAGAGTCCCCTGTTAACTCCCGTTACATTCCTCCATGGTGTCATTTGAGCGAAAAACTTTTACGAGAACCAGGCTGGGGGGGTCAAAAGGGCTTGACCAAGGCCGACCCAAAGTGCACGGTGGGCGGACTCATCACCTCCGTGATGAGTCTCCATTGTGATGTGAAAAATCCCATCAAACGAGTCCTTTCGGTGGGCGGGAAAGAAAATGTGTGCGTCAGAATCATCACTTCCTGTACTGACAGTGGAGATGTCCTGAGAGTGCAGCCTGCACTGGAACTGTCCTGAGAGTGGAGGTCTGCAGGCAGGCTCCCATGACTAATGGCGCATTTCCACTACAGCGCGGTGCGCGGTTTAAGCGTGGCGTGCCCGTTTTTGGTTGCGTTTCGACTAGGCGTAGTACCGACTAGCGGGTACTATTTCACAGTTTTTCTGGCCCCATAAAATCGAGGTTCTTAGCGGGCTAACAACCAGGCTGAACTAGTATGCTAAACTAGAGAGAGAGAATCGCTGGCAAGTACAACTACAACTACAACAAAATGACCATATTTGACCGTGATTTAATTGTAATACACATTTCAAAATGATGCCGAAGTAATAACATACTGATACCGGTTAGTAAAAACTAGGGATGGGAATTTGAAAGCAAATGTATATTCGAATATTCCACCCCCCAAAAAACGGTTAACCGGTTAACCGAAATGTACATATCCTATAAAACAAAAAACTTTTTTCAGATTTTTTTTTTTTACATTTTTTTTTTACCCAATTTTTTTTCAATAAGTTTTTAGAAATACATACATGTTCAAATAAGTGTAGAAACCAAGTCGAATTTGTCAAATGTATTGAACTGGTGATCACAGTTGGACAGCTATAGGCCTACAGCTTTCATGTGGAGGCGATTCACAATCAGGCCAGCTGTAGAGAAGACCCTCTCAGCTGGAACGGAGGTTGCGGGTATAGCGAGGTATAGCATGTATACTGTTAAGTGTAAGTATTAATATGTCTGCATGTAACTGCACTATAACTGTTCCACAGTAAGAGGGCGCTATAGGCGTAAGGAGGCGCAGCTATTGTAGCTGACGTCAGGTTAGGTATCAGATATAAGGGATTGTTCCCTCCCCTTCTATCTCTCTAGCTCTCATGGAGAGCAGGTCAAGTGGTGCAATGCACATATGAAAATAAATCACGCCAGTTAAGGCTAAAGAAGACCTCGTCGTCATGACCAGTTTATTGCTATACATGTAACTCTATCAACAGGTTATGGGCCCAGATCACGGAAGAGCGAAATAACGATAGCTAGTTAGCTGAAAAGTTTAGGCTAGTTTAGCGGCGGGAAAACCGCGGGACGCTAAAGCTACGCTAACGGGCAGCTAAGCTAAGCTACAATCAAAAGATGGCGACCAGAGGCAGAAGAAAGTGGCCCACGTGTGACGGAAGGGCAGAAGAATACGAGCTCTGGGAAGAGCGGATGTTGTGCTGTATGCACGGAGTGGGGCTGAAAAAGACAATTTTGACGGGCCTCACGGGAGAAATAACGGAGGCCGCGCGAGCCCTGGATACTAAGCTGAACGCCGACGCATACTGCGAACTAGCACCACTCCTAGACAACACAAGCTTGGGGCTGATATTCCGGGACACAAAGGACAAAGGCCGAGAGAGTCTAAAAGTGTTAAGAGAACACTACATCGGCAGAGGTAGGCCCCGGATTGTATCCCTGTATATAACATTGACCGCGCTGAAGAAAGCTAACACAGAGACTGTGACTGAATACGTCATCAGGGCGGAACAGATCATCACGGCGCTCAAAAGTGCAGGAGACGCACCGAGCGATGGACTAATGATGGCGATGGTTATGAGGGGACTACCGGAGATGTATAAACCGTTCACACTGTTGGTGATGCACGGTTCAGCGGACATGTTGCTGGGGGAGTTCAAGGTCAAGTTGCGGAACTTCGAGGCCTCAGAAGACTCAGACCTGGTCGCCGAGGAGGCGGGAGAAAGGGTAATGAAGGCCCGGGCAGCGCCAAAGAAAAAGACCGGACCCCCGACGGAGATGGCGTGTTGGCGATGTGGAGAAAAGGGTCACCGAAAGGATAATTGCACAAAAACTGTTTGGTGTAGTTTCTGTAAAACTTCGGGACACGCAGACAGAGTGTGTAGAAAGAAGCGCGAACAGAGCGCTCGGTACGCGCGCGTGCAAGATGGCAGCTGTGGACAAGATGGCGGCAGCGGTGGAAGTGAGGCGAGTCGAGACGACGCCCTGAGAGCAGCGGGAAGAGAGGACTTAACCTTCGGGGCGCAGACAGCATACGCCAGCCGGTCGCAGCAGCAGCAGGCCCAAAGGAAGGGACTGATCGTGGACACAGGTGCGTCGTCCCACATTATCAACGACAGGAACCGATTCAAGAACTTTGACAGCACCTTCGAGCCGGAGAGACACAGCATGGAGCTGGCAGACGGGAAGCGCACTTTCGGGTTGGCGCACGGGAGAGGAGAAGCACAGGTATGCCTCATAGACAGTGAGGGGCGCCGGTGTACAGTGACGTTGAAGAACGCCCTCTACATACCCTCGTTCCCCCAAGAACTATTTTCTGTAAAATCGGCTACTGCAAATGGTGCCAAGGTGTTCTTCAATGAAGGTAACGATGTTCTTGTGGAGCCTGACGGTACGAGATTTAACATTGAGGTGTACAAGAGAATGTATTATCTACAAACAGAATGTAATGAAAATGATGTGTGTAATGTCAGTCATGATATTCAGACATGGCATGAGATCATGGGTCATTGTAATTACGAGGATATACTGAAGCTGCCGGCCGTAACAGTAGGCATGCACATTAACGGTGAAAAGCATAGACCTAACAAAGAATGTGATGTGTGTATAAAGGGAAAGTTCACTCAAACAAGGAACAAAGGTCCCACAGAAAAAGTAAAGACACCACTTGAGCTAGTTAACACAGATCTAGCCGGTCCAGTAAATAATGAGTCCATAGGTGGCTTTAAATATATGCAGTCTTTCACAGATGTGTATACAGGGGCAGTGTTTGTTTACTTTCTCAAAGCAAAGAGTGACGCACTTCAGGCCACAGAGAAATTCCTTGCAGATGTAGCTCCGTATGGCAGCGTAAAATGCCTGAGGTCCGACAACTGAACAGAGTTTACAAATAGAGAGTTTCAGTCACTGCTGAGAAGGAACAAGATCAGACACGAGACGTCCTGTCCTTACTCCCCGCACCAGAACGGGATAGCTGAGAGGGAAGGGCGCACTCTTTTTGAAATGGCTAGGTGTAAGCTAAAAGACGGTAACTTACCTAAGAGTCTATGGCATTATGCGGTCCAAGAAGCAGCTTACACCAGAAATCGGTGTTTTAACAAGCACACGGGCACCACCCCATATACAGCACTGACAGGAAAAAGGTGTGATCTAGCCAGGATGCACAAGTTTGGGTCAGTGTGTTATGCTTACCAACAGGACAGGAACAACAGGAGAAAGGACTTTTTGTAGGGCATGACAAGGGCAGCCCCGCTTTTCTAGTCTATTATCCCGGTAAGGGGAAAGTGCAAAAGCACAGGTTAGTAAAGTTTGTCACAAAGACAACATGTGAGAACGAGACACAGACACAGGAGCCAGAGCTGGACTCCAGAGTAGGGTGTGAGAAAAGAGAGACGCCACAGCCTAGTGTACTGAGCACAGACATGCAGACAGACGGTCAACAGCCACCGGAGGATGATGGCGAGAAGCACCCTAGGGTGACGTCACATGCCTCATGCAGTGGGAGATATCCCCCTCGGGAACATAAACCCCCAAAGTATCTGAAAGACTATGCCCAGAGAGAAAGTGACGAGGATGACAGTACACTTACCAGCATAGATTACTGCTACAGAGTAGTGAGTGGTGTACCTCAGACCTTTAAAGAGGCCATGATATCCCCTGAGTCGGGAAAACGGGAGAGAGCGATGGATGAGGAGATGAGGTCTCTGGAGGACAATCACACTTTTACTCTAACAAAGTTACCCGAGGGTAGACAGACAGTGGGAGGCAAGTGGGTGTACTCAATCAAGGAGGGTATTGAAGGGCACGACAGGTACAAGGCCAGGTTTGTAGCTAAAGGCTACAGTCAGAGGGAAGGAATAGACTACGGTGAGACATTCTCCCCTACAGCTAATCTGACCAGTGTACGGGTAGTTATGCAGAAGGCAGCCGAAGACGACTTGATTTTACACCAGATGGATGTGAAGACAGCCTACCTGCACGCACCCATTGATAGGGACATATATATGAAACAACCTGAAGGTTACGAGAAGAAAGGAGGAGAGAAGCTAGTGTGCAAGCTAGAAAAATCCATTTACGGCCTGAAACAGTCTGGGCGAAATTGGAACGAGATGCTTCATGCATGTCTAATTGAATATCACTTCATTAGGTCTGTCATCAGAGAAGAAAAGATGACACTGGTTTACTGTCCTACAGATGACATGGTTGCAGACGCTATGACCAAGCCTGTCTCCAAACTGAAATTGAAAAAATGTTCGGTGTGTAAAATATTGCCTATTATGTAATATTGACTGCCATGTTCTTTTGATGTTTTGAACTGTTATTTTTCTTGGAAAAGTTGTACAGTATACACGTCATTCATAAGTGGGAGTGTTAAGTGTAAGTATTAATATGTCTGCATGTAACTGCACTATAACTGTTCCACAGTAAGAGGGCGCTATAGGCGTAAGGAGGCGCAGCTAGTGTAGCTGACGTCAGGTATCAGATATAAGGGATTGTTCCCTCCCCTTCTAGCTCTCTCTCTCTCTAGCTCTCATGGAGAGCAGGTTAAGTGGTGCAATGCACATATGAAAATAAAACACGCCAGTTAAGGCTAAAGAAGACCTCGTCGTCATGACCAGTTTATTGCTATACCTGTGACTCTGTCAACATATACAAGTTTAATTTGGCATAGTTTGACCTCTACACCGCCGCACTCACTAACCTGGTCGAAATATTTCCACACATTACTCCTTTTTGACGCCATGTCTGTTGTGTAGGACTCTTCTTAGAGTGTAAATAATTACCGGACTATGAATGTTGAATACCGGCAAAACTAAATCTCTCCTGTCAAAATGTCTATGCACTTTTCCACCACACACGGTTGCCAAGCAGCGCTTATTGTTGTTTAGGCTGGCCATGTGTCGCGAGTGTTGACAGGGGGCGGGGGAGCACGCTCATGAACTGTTGGCGCCGGAACCTCGCAACGGCTGCGGAGCTCATTTGCGCCATATTTGGGCCTAAGATGAGGTTTGAGTCTGCGTGTCGGGAGCCATATCATTGGCTAGAACTAGCTAGATCTGATGGATTTGGACATAAACGCGAGTGAAGTATAACCGGACACGAGAGAGAGAGATCAGCAGCTCTGCCCGCTGTGAGGGACCGGTGAGCGGAGCAAAACACACCTTTAGACGTCAACACATTTAGCTATGGCACAGTCTTATATATATATATATATATATATATACACATTGAATTATTCAATTTGATAAATATATATATATATATATATACACATTGAATTATTCAATTTGATAATATGTAATCAACTTATGCATCACTCCCAAAAAATGTTTTATAAAAAAAAAAAAAAATTTAGAAAAATATTCTTAACTCATATTCGAATACCTGAATAATTTAGAATATTCGATTAATCGTTCCCATCCCTAGTAAAAACCATGAGTTAATGCTTTGACAAGTCTGCAGACAGACGGCAGGCGAAACACCTTTTAAAATGCGTATTTTCTGAATGGAGATCGGATAAGCTAACGCAGTATATGCTCCGACCGTCCACACTCACAACAACGGCCTACGGACATAAATAAACCAGCTACTGTATTCGCCATGACACAGACGCAATGGAAACGCAGCATAAAGTGAGCTAGTCCTAACTATACCGTACTGAGCCGAGCGAGGCCCTGCAGTGGAAATGCGCCATAACAGAACATTTAGATGCACTGAAGCCAATAACGGTGCAGATAATGTGCCCTGCACAATCTGCATTAATCAGATTGTCTTTGGACTCTTTAGGAATGCTGTTACGAGAGGTTCGACAAGGCGCGAAACCAGCACCACACACACACACACACAACACACACACACACAACACACACACACACACACACACACACACACACACACACACCACACACACACACACACACCACACACACACACACCACCACACACACTACACACACACACACACACACAACACACAACACACAACACAACACACACACACACACACACACACAACACACACACACACACACACACACACACACACACACACACACACACACACACACACACACACACACACACACACACACACACACACACACACACACACACACACACACACACACACACACACACACACACACACACACACACACACACACACACACACACACGATTGATAAATGAAGAATGACAGAGATAATGCCTCCGATCATCATTTAATCATGGGTTATTAGTTTCCAGCAGTTTCCTGCTCACACAGAAGATCCTCCTCCTCTCACACAGATTGACAATGCAGAGGGGGGAAAACATGCGTCACACCCACTCAGGAAAGATTTGCTCACAGAGGAAACTCCAGCTCCTGTTTTTGCTGGAGCAGTGTGGCCTGAGGTCAGGACCCACAGCTGTGTATCAGAGAACTCTGAGAGGCAGAGCTGTGTGTGAAACGTGTCTGAAACACACGTTAGCTTTGTCATTTAGAAAGTGTGGAAAGGGAAGCTGAACTTACTTTGACTCCATCTGCTTTTTTGTTCAGCAGGCTCTTGGCTGCTGTGGAAAAATAGAAAACAATGCAAGGAAAACAGATGGAATTAACACATATTCACATAATATTACCCTTAGACAAAAAACTAGCAAACTTAAAGTGGGTCGTACTAAAATAAGACTCAGAAGAGAAAAATGTAAATTAAAGCAGGCGATAAATAAACTGAGTGAATCATTAACCTGGGACATGCAATAACATCCATCAGAGTGGTTTGCCTTCACTTTCTCCTCCCATTTTCACTCTAGCATGTAAAAGTTTTATCTAAAAAAATACTACACAAACAGCCATGCTTTGTAAGTACACTGTAGTGGTCGACTTTAGTTAAATGTATTATTTCAACAGATTGCACATATTAGGTTAGTATAATAATCATATTCAGTTGAACCTAATGTTTTTAATCCAACTTAATATGTTTGCTTTCATCTAACCCAGGGGTGCCCAAACTTTTTTGAACCGAGAGCTACTTTTAAAGTTGCCAGTCTGCCGAGATCTACCAGTCCAAATAGAGGTACCAGGTAAATACACACTTCTACTTGTATAAAACTGACCTTTGAACGATGAATACTTGAGATCCTTTATCTTACCTCTTTCTAATCTACACACAAGTATTTAACTGAAGTTACACAACAGTGTTGTTGATACAGAGTTGGAGTTTATTCACACGTCACGTACTACAGTGGGTAATGTTTTCAAGAAACATTGAACAGTGCTGCCACATATGACACAGGAACAAAAGAAAATACTCTGAACCCTTTCTTTGCCATTATATAAAAATAGTGTTGCTACAAAAGTATAAATTAGGCTTACTAATAAAACAACTCAGATCTGAAGCTACACAGGAATATAATCAAAACCTTTTTTTGTTGCATTTTAGTAGAGTATAAAAAGAAATGCCTTTAAAATAGGATGCCAGCAACACTAGTTTCTTAACCTGAATTGATGATAGACTATAATCAATTTAAACAGAACAGATCTTAATGTTTGCATTCTTATACCATTTTGTACAATAATTATAATGAATAAGTTCAAACAAACTAAAACTTACAGCTGATTAATAACGATATCTAACTTGAGTTTTTATTATATCAAAAACCTGTTGAAATGCTTCTGTTATTTTTATGCATCGGCAGCCTCCAGGAATGCTTCTTTCATAACTTCGCCGTCTTTGAAAGACTTCATGTGTTTCTCAAGAACGTGACTGACACGATAAGATGCTCTGGTAGCAGCCTTGCTCTTGTTGTTGGGCCTGGTGAAAATGGACTGCTGTGCATTTAGCTGTCCTTTCAGGCCCCTCCCCTTTTGGAGCGTAGGGCAGAATTAGGAGGGAATTCCGTCTCGTAGCGTTTGTGCACTGTTTTGAAATGCCGCTCCTAAATTACCCTTCTTCGATAAAGCCACGCTCGCATTGCAGATGAGACAGATGGACTTTGAATTGGAATAGATACAAAAATAATCATCCTCCCACTCGGAGTGAAAATTATATATGTTTTGCTTCTGCCATAATTGCGGTCTTGTGTGTGTGCGGACTGTCACTCCAGTTGACACGGACAACGTCAGCGAACTAGTGCACTGCCCACCAGCCACGCCCCGACACATTGGGTCACGCCGGCCAATCACAAAGCTTTGATGCGTTCAAGTGCATTATTCTGGCACAGGAAGATTATGTTATAGGACATTAACAATAAAACAGAATGTTGTTGTTCTATTTTTAGACACATCTCGCGATCGACTGGTTGGGCACCCCTGATCTAACCTAATACTATATTGTGTAATCTGTTGATACATTCAACTAAAGTCAACGTTTCAGTTTTTTCGGTTTAGTTTAGGGGGGGGGGTTGGTTGGTTGGTTGGGGGGTTTGGTGCATTCTCCAAGGCGGTGAGGTGTTGTTATCAGTAGGATTGATTTGTGGAAGATGTATGTTTAGTAACTGATTGACTGTATTGACATCAAATATCTTTAAGATAATAGAGCTCTATTAGTCTTTAAGAATAACTCTTACCTATCACATGAGTTACCAACCGAGAGGGAAGGAAGGGAAACAGAAACACACTAAAGGTCATAATAGTGACAGTTTAGAAAAATATAATGGATGTGAATGAAACAAACGTTATTGTCATTTGTCAGATAAACTTCAATATTGTTGAATTCAGTTTGAACATTTTGCCCTTTAGAGGGACCAGAAGATGGCTCTGAATCAATCTGCATACTTCAGTATGTATTTCAGTGAAAAAGGAGGACAGGCTGAAGGCCATCAGAATGGAATCAAAGCTGCCATCAAAAGGACAGCATCTAAAGAAGACCTACATGAATTACTATAAAGTAAAACTTGTCAAAAACCTCTAGCTTTGACATTGAAGGGAGCCATGTTTCAGGCTGGTCCACACTGGTTCAGTCTTACCTGAGAAGTTGCGAGTGGCCAGCATCGTAGTCAGAATGGCACCCTGCAGAGAGGCGGGACATTAGAGAAGCTCTGTTTGGATTGGCTTGAAGGTTAAGTATGTCTAGAACTCACTAACATTAAGAAAGTGGATCAGTCCTGTTCTGAAGTCTTTACACTGGCTTCCTGTCTGTCAAATAACTGATTTCAAAATACTGCTGCTGGTTTATAAAGCTTTGAATGGTTTAGTAAATGTCTGATCTCCTGCTAAATGATGAACCATCCAGATCTCTCAGGTCTTCTGGTCTGCTTTCTGTCCCCAGAGTCAGAACTAAACATGGAGAAGTTCAGTTATTATGCTCCAAACATCTGGAACAAACTCCCAGAATCCCACAGGTCCTTTTAAATCCAGGCTGCAGACTTTTATTGTTGCTTTTAATCGAACTATTCATATCTCACACTGCACTCTAACTATTATTCATGTATTTTTTGTATTATCTTGTTTTATATTTATTTTATTGTCTTGCTTTTTAATGACTGTTTTTAAATGCCATTTTATATATCGTTTTCCGCTACACTATTTCTTAAAGGTCCCATGTCATGCTTTTCCGGTTATTACCCGTCCCCTTGTGTTATGAAGCTTTTTCTGCATGTAAACGGTCTGCAGAGCCACAACCCCTCAAAGTGCACCCTGTAGCGAGTACAACTCTAACACAGAAAAGACCTGTCTGTGCTGCCCCAGAACGCCTCGTTGGACATTTATTTTTTTCCATTTTATACTTCCTGGCTATAGTGACGTGCCCATACCCAAATGGACCCATTGGTCCAAATGAACCGTGGACCTCCTCACACACACACACACACACACACTCTTTTAGCAGCAAAAATGTGACGCGCTGGGGGGGGGGGGTGCTAGTGGAGCCTCGCAGCGCAGCGAAACAGTGGCGCGCCGCGTTTGGGGGTGATGCGGGTGCTAGTGGAGCCTTGCAGTAGCGAGCCAGTGGGCGAGCACACTGGGCTCACAGGGAGGGAGGGGGGAGCTCCAACAAGGCGTTTAGGACAGAGAGGGACATTCAGTGAATAGATACATATGAGAAGAAGAGATATGCTGTATGAGAAAACCAATGTGAGTTTGGAAAATTGCACAATGTAAATCTGGAATTACAATGGAATTATGATCAGTAGAAATGGCCATGACATGGGACCTTTAATGCTCCATCTTAGTAAAGCACTTTGAATTGTCTTGTGTTGAAAGCTTCTATATAAATAAACTTGCCTATAACTGGATTTAGCATATTTCTTTTTGAAAACTTGAGCACTGCGAGAACTCGAAGTCTTGCCAAGTACTTTTGTGTAATATCAAGTCAGAATATGTCTTTACACTTGATATAAGATCTAGTAATTTAGGAAGTAAGCAGCAGTGATGTAGGGTCTTGATTTTAGACACTGCATCTAAAAGCAGGGGTATTCAACTAAAATTCAAAGAGTTCCAGTTAGAGAAAATCTCCCCATGCAAAGGTCCGGAACTTCAAAATGTCTAACTTGCTTTATGAATTAATGTGCTTTATGTGATATATACAAGTAGCCTGTAGCTTTATCAATGTCTGCATGGAAAGTACAATTCATAAACAACAATATTTATTGTCAATTAACATTGAACTATACAGATATACAGTAAATACTGTGGATATGTGTAATGTTCCTCTCGGGCTGCATTTACAAATAAAATAGAAAAAATAAATAAAATAGCTTTTGAAAATGTGTGCATCTTAAAAGTGCTTAATTTTAGATAAATAAAATAAAGTGTAGCAGCAGCTTGAGTTTCCCTTTTTCTTTGTTAACCGTTTCACATCATGACTTAACAGTTTCAGACGATTATAGAACATATCAGTCTTTACACATCATAACAATTGAACAGTTTTAAAGTTTCTCTTTCTTTCCCTCTTATATTGCAGTCCCTCACTCACTTTGTTTAAATTCAGTGCGAGAATTGAGCTGGAGCTTGTCCTGCCAGGAGTTTAGATCTGGGCTGAAATGGTGTCAGGGCCATTCTCATACACACATGCAGGTGCTCATTGGTTAGTCTCGGTTAGCTCATTGGTTAGCCTCGGTTAGCCTGCCCTGGAACCATATTTAGTTTTAATTGATCCTGGTGGACTGATCATATCGGGCTCTGAGACTGCTTCTTTTTTGTGAGCTCAGTTCTGACTTGAGAGGGAATGTTTGGTCAAACACTTAGTGTTTTGCCTCATAGTGGCGTTTTGGCACTTCTAATGAGCGCCACGGTCTCTGAACAAATGAGACACACTGGCTCTGTGCTCCCAGTGGGCAGGATGAACATGAATGAGTCCACTCAGGGTTGAAAGCTCTGTTCTCACTGTCCACTTTCCTCTTTCCTCTTCTTGGAGAGCGCCATGTGTCATTATGTGTCTCTCCCTGCCGTTAACACGCCTGTTCACTCTCCTCTCCGCTTCTCTCCCTTTATCGCTAATTATTCTCTTCACTCACTTTCCTCTCGTCTTTGCCGCTCCCTCGTCTCTTCTGTGTTTCTCTCCCTGTATCTCTCACTCGTCTCTTCTTCTGTGTTTCTCTCCCTGTATCTCTCACTCGTCTCTTCTTCTTGTTTCTCTCCCTGTATCTCTCACTCGTCTCTTCTTCTTGTTTCTCTCCCTGTATCTCTCACTCGTCTCTTCTTCTGTGTTTCTCTCCCTGTATCTCTCACTCGTCTCTTCTTCTTGTTTCTCTCCCTGTATCTCTCACTCGTCTCTTCTTCTGTGTTTCTCTCCCTGTATCGCTCACTCGTCTCTTTCACCCCCTGTTGGCGGCGGTTAAAATAGAATCGCCCCGTCAAAATTGAAATCCCCTATTAATGTATTGATTATAGGTCCGGGTCCGTATAGGTCGGTGTCTGGGTCCGGACCGCGGTCCGCCTGTTGCCAACCCCTAATCTAAAGTATCTAATTGAGTCAAAGACTCAAAGTTGTATCTCAGATTAAACCATTTTCACATTTCCATTGGAAAATCACCCACTAACATCAGAAAACAGAACACTTTTGAGCATTTGCGGCATTTCCTGATTCTGGTAAATATAATTCAAAATACAAGATGTATGTTCTAAATATCCAATCTTAATTCAAGAAATCTTTTCCTTATTACAAGCAAACAGTACATTTTTGTACTTGTTTTTGAAACGGCATTTTTCCCAGTGAGAGCTCACTCACCTTAAGTTTCCTCCTAGCATTGAACTTCTTCAGGCACTCCACAGTCTCCTGTCTGTGCATCATGGACGCCACAGTGGAGCGTTGCTGTGAAAAACAGGGACAGGAGTGTGATGGAATAAGGCGTGTTCACAGTCATGCTTTTAGTGTTGACCCAAGATATGAAATGTGTTTGTGTGTGACACCTACGCAGATCCAGGGGTGTTTGAGTGCGTCTGTGGCTGTCACTCTCTTGGCGGGGTTGATGGTCAGCATCTTGTTGATCAGGTCTTTGGCCTCTGGAGTCACTGTGTCCCACTCAGGAGAGGGGAACTGGGGGAATGACATCACACAAACCAGTTACAATGGCCCACCAACCACTGCAGAGTCAACATGCATCAGATACAGAGGCACTGCATGTGTCCTTGAAGCTTGGCAAAAGTGTTGAATGCATGCCCTCATAAAACATCCAAGCCTTTTTACATTATTACATTAAACACCTGCATTGTATGATGTCATCTGTGTGCTCAGGTGTGTGTGTGTGTGTGTACGTATGTTCTTGCATCAATGATGCAACAAACTAAACGGGGACACAACAAAAGTAATAATAATAATCGTTTTATTTCGATTACGTTGTTTTCGTAATCGTTGCAAGCCATAATCGTAATCGCGATAATTGAGCAGCCCTAGTGTCAGGACGAAACTCACATCATAAGCTCCAGCTTTAATCTGTTGGTAGAGTCTGTGCTGGTCCTCATCCCAGAATGGAGGATATCCAACCAGGAGGATGTAGAGGATCACACCTGCACAAACACACACAAAACACCAAGAACCAAAACAGTTTAGTTTTATGTATTTGCTTTACTTAAAGGGGACCGATCAAGCAAAATGCACTTTTGTACGTCTTTTATTCATGAATATGTGTCCCCGGTGTGTCAGGGAACTCACCAAGTGTCAGAAAATACAACCCTCTCTCTTTTCCTCCGTACCCAAATCAAAAACGGGGCTACAACGAGCGGATACAGATTCCATCGGACCCGACGTCAGCCCGGAATAGTGGGCGGTGACGCTCCGCCTACATGGGCAACGCTCCACCTATCAGAACACCTCGGCAAATGTCTGCTTCTGTGTTCTAAACATTTTACCTCGGCCATGTTTATCAACTTCCCTCAAGTGAAAAGAGGATATGCTTCCAATCTAAGGCTAAAAACTGGATCAATACCAACCATCCGGGACCAGGACACATCCAATTTGGAAGCTGTACGTTTTTCCATGTTAATATTTGCATTCCTTTTTAGTTAGCGGTGTTTTTCCTGATAAAGTTATCTCTACTACGTAGCTTGTAGCTTGTAGATGAGACGTGATGTGATTCAGCAGTCTTTATTACTTGTTTGCGCACATGAATATACATATGTGTGTGTGTGCACGACTGTTAGGATACAACAGTGTGTGTATGTGTGCGCAATTGTTGCAAGGAGGGGGGGAACAACACAACGCTGCACAGCTCTGTTGATGGGACTTGGCTAATTAGCGGCTAGCACTCATTACAGTCTGTCTAATGAGCTCAGCTCCTCTCCAACACATCAGCTTTGCTAAATAGACAGCGTTAGCCCCCATCTTTTGGGATTTCAGACTATATTTATCCAAATAGTATTTTCTCATCCTGAATACTAAATTGAGATGATTTTGTTCTAACTATGTTTCTCCTATACGGGCCAGCACCTCACATACTACCAGCGGAAAACCTGTGATGATCGATGATAGATTCTGCATGTCAGACTGACCCACCGAAGCTGCGTACTGTATTTTGTATGGGTTCAATGAACCGTTGATTTTGACAATAAAGTTCCGACAGTTTATATAAAATGTGTCATGATTATTCATGATGGGTAAAGTATATGCAGATTTCAAAAGCAAAAGGTTGTGTGTGTTATCAACAAATGGGTGTGTTATGCCATTGCTGTGTAGTATATAATATAATAGAAATAAAAGATTGCATAAAACCATATACACCAGTATTTATTTTCATGAACAATATTAGCATACGTTTTCCAAATTCGCATACGCTCGTGCCTGGGCCTTGCCTCGCCCCCCGCTCCTCTCCTGCAGGGGGGCGTGGTCAGCTGCAGCTCATTTGCATTAAAGCTACGTCACAAAATCAGTCCTTGCAAAAACAGGGCTGGAATAGAGCAAATAGAGCGAAATGAGGCATGTCTAAAATGCATGATCTGTTTGGTATTTTGAAAAAAAGAACTTCAAAGACATGTTTTATATAGGTATGGCCCTACAATATATGTTTCAAATATAGCATGATAGGTCCACTTTAAAGTGGGTCCTACTAACATAAGAAGAAGAGAAAATGTTAAATGATTGGCTACCGCGCGAACGTCACGCGAATTTGACGCTCGAGTTGAACAAATTGAACTCCAGCGGTTGTCGCGGCCCCCTTCGATTGCCTCAATCGCATCGCGGCATTTGCGTCAATCGCGCCGCTGGAGCAAATTTGCATCTGTCCGCGTCTTTGCATTGATTTTACATGTAATCGTGCCGCCCCCAAAAATCGCCAGTGTTAACGCATCGCCAGTGTTAACGCATCATAAGTCTTAACGAGCTCTCCCATACACACTAGGGGTGTAACGGTATCCGTATTTGTCCCGTACCGTCACAGTTTGGACGTCACGGTTCGGCACATGCAGTCACACGGCGAATACGCCTTTTTTTACGAGTGGGAAAAAAGTCTGTCATTCAGGGCAGTATTACACTATATATAATCCAGGGGGCGGTATTGAGACTAAAAGCCAGCCGCCCGTAAATAACAAATGAAGAACAAAACACAACAAAACGAACACAATAAGAAGAAGAAAGGTTAGTATCTATGGCGAGTTCACACAACACACAGGAGCTAGAAGACCCACCTGCTTCTTTTAAATCAGCTGTGTGGGAACATTTCGGGTTCCCTGTGGACTACAGCAATGATGGGGTGCGAGTTGTGGATCGGACGAGGACCGTGTGTCGGCGTTGTTCGACAGCGGTGCGGTATGCTAGTGGTAACACGTCAAACATGCTCAATCACATCCGAGTCAGTCTCAGTCCCCAGAGAGGGTTTTCTCGACGGCAGGTGACATAGTTACCGCCAACAGATCTGCCCTCACTACTGACAACGTAGACAAACTCATCTTTCTGAAGAACAACTTGAAAATAGAGTAAAGCTTGAGTACCTTTATTTAGGCATAATGGCCTCACACACTCACAAGTTAATTACACATGTTAGACATTGCTCCTAAAGCTACAAATTGTATTTTGTTTTATATTTATCATTGTATTTATTTTATATTTAGACATCAGGAGATGTTATACAGTTCTGTATTGCTTTTATTGATTGTGATTGAAACACTTATTTATTTTAATATTTTCAAGACATTCTTTTTAGTTTTACAGCTTATTTAACCTTTTTGTTTGACATCAGCCATTATAGATAATATGGCCATCTGACTGTTACTGTTTGTGGTTTGTTTGTAACTGTGTAATACAGTTAATGATTCCAAATGTTAGAGTTCCTTATTTTCGTACCAAAACGTGCACTACTGTTACAAATAAATAACAGCAAAAAGACAAAGCGAGGGCCCCGGGCCGGGCTGCTAGTGAGACTGAGGAAGCGAGAAAACCGACCCCTTCTTCTGAGTATTCTTCTGGCTAATGTTCAGTCAATTGAGAATAAACTGGATGAACTCAGAAGCCGGATTGCTTTTCAATGGGACATTAAGAACTGAACGTGATCATTTTCACGGAGACTTGGCTCAAATCCGCTATCCCAGACTCTCGTTCCAGACGGCTTCTCTATATTTCGTCCAGGATCGGACACCTCATGATCAGATGCAGGGCTTTTCATCTGCCAAGATCATTTTCATAGGTTCTGATTACAGCAGTGTACATTCCGCCACACACTGACAACAACACAGCATTAGGTCAGCTGTTTGGAGTGATTGGCAGGACAGAGACTTCGCGGCCAGAGGCGGCTTTCATTGTGGCCGGGGATTTTAACACCGCCAATATGAAGAAAGTTCTGCCGAGATATTATTAGGGTCTGAGACCTAGGTCGGCGAAGACCCTATTGAAATCGGTCGCGCAGCGACCGATAAACCTGCGAAAAACACCCCAAAACAGGGAAATCGACCGGCAAAAGCACAGAAAAGGTTCGGAAATCATGACGGCTGATAGGCCGCGTGAGCCCAGTCACGTGGAATGGAAAATGGCCCAAACAGCACCAGACTTCAAACTATCATTAATGGTCCGGCCCTCAACAGCTCTCCGCCAATTATGGGATATCATCATGTGTCGTTTCCATGACAACGCATCCCTCGCCATGAAACACGGTGTTCTCCTAATTCAATGGAAAATCTTCCAAACGCCACCAGACTTCATATGATGGCTCCTAATCCGGCCCTCAACAGCTCTACGCAAATTATGGGATGTCATCATATGCTGTTGCCATGGCAACGCCTCCCTCGCCAAATAACCTGGTGTTGTTGTATTTCAATGGAAAATCTTCCAAACGCCACCAGACTTCATATGATGGCTCCTAGTCCGGCCCTCAACAGCACTACGTCAATTATGGGATGTCATCATATGCCGTTGCCATGGCAACGCATCCCTCGCAATTAAACCTGGTGTTGTCGTAATTCAATGGAAAATCGTCCAAACTGCACCAGACTTCAAATTACAGTTAATGGTCCGGCCCTCAACACCTCAATATGACAATAGTGAGTTTTCCTTAAAAGCTGTTGCCATGGCAACACATCCCTCGCCGTTAAGCACGATATTGCTAGAACTCCTGTGTAAATGGTAAAAAATTGTTCAAACTTCACGTGTGCTAACCGTCAAGCCCTCGAGACATATATGTGTAACTTTTGAGATTTCTTCAAATATCGTTGCTATGGTAATAAAATGGTCGCCTTGAAACATGGTTTTCTCATAAATCCAGTTAACATGCTCCAAACGGCACAAAACTTCACCGGTTTGATAACGATGCAGCCCTCAACACATCTAGGCGTATTATGGGGTGTCATCAAATGCCGTTGCCATGGACACAGATCGCCCGTCATTAAACAAAATCGTTTGTGTTACTGCTGTAACTCAAAGACATTGTCCGATCGGCCTGAAACTTCCCACGTTTGCCAACGGCTCAGTCCTCGAGACACCTACACACGTCGACGTGCGGACAACAGCCTGCGGAACGTCGAAGACCCGCTCAACGCTGCTTGCAGCTTTAATTATTATTATTATTATTATTTTTATTATTGGTACAATCCAAACAGATGGGTTAACATTTGTGAGACAATCAGGAGACATTACATGCCATTTCATAGATGATCATGGACATTCAGAATACAAACTATATATATATAACATTCCTGATACTGTTCATAAATACTGTAGCCAGTTATCATACATGTAAGATCCTTCTCGTTAAGAGCCTATCTTTTTGCTGGCAGTCCCTTTAATCTGAATGGCTATCTCCTGCCATGGTGTTTTTTTCGAGCAATTACTGAAATTACAAGTGCCTGCTGAATAAGGCTACCGAGGTTTATCACACCAACAGTTAAAGGGGCCCTATCATGTTCCTTTTCAGGTTCAAACTTATATGTAGTGTCTCTATTGTGACATGTCTCCATGCTTTATGTTCAAATAGCTCTTTTCTGCTGCAACACTGTCTGAAACCAGAGCCCAAAGTGTAATAGGGCCCTATTACTTACCACAGGCCCACATGTCTACTGGCATGCCGTACGGATCTTTCCTCAGCACCTCTGGAGACAGGTAGCCTGGTGTACCGGCAAAACCTGAAACACAAGCACACACAGACACCTTTCAGATCACCCCTGTCAATACACTTTTTTCTAGTAGCTAAGGATCAGTGGTCCCATAACGTTTATGAGCCGAGGTTAACAAGCTCCTAAGAAAATCATGTAGCAGTTTTGCTCATGAACATCCAAATTCAGCCTACTTTTAAAAAAGCCTCAAAGTATCAGCAGAAATGTAGTGCGTGTAGAACTAAAGTCAGAACACAATATGAACTGGTTCCAGATGGGAGCAGGGGAACAGAACAATTATTTCTCTATTCTACAGGGGATACCGGGGGGAGAAATAGAAGTGACAGATATTCAATCCAGAGCCGAGAGCAATAGCACACCTCGTCTCTTCGGACAGGCAGAACTTTAATCCTAAAATGGCACATGAAGATATTTATTTGATTTTGCAGTTTATCGAAAAAACCAAAGTAGGACAAACATCTTCATCGCTGCCTTTACTTTTCTCATCAGCTGGGAAAGAGAAAAAAGTGCATCAATGTTCCATTGTCATTGGAATTAAACTTTTAGTGTCTAAAATTGGATAAGAGCATCAGCAACAAACCCTGAGGATGCAATGAATCTTTAAAGGGGCTTGGAATCGGGAAGTAACATCATTCAATATTTAAAAACATAATTACGATGAATTATTTTACAGACATTGTAGTTTCTATTTTTGGAAAACATTATTTCTAAATTAATCATGCCTGAGAAAAGTGTGATTTTGGTTTTACAGGATCAAAACATGACCGAGCTTAACTATCCCATCACAATCCTACACTGATTTTACTTTCATCAAAATAAACTGTCTAAGTGCCAGGGCCGAATGCTAAGGGCGCATCTATGACATTCAAAATGTTTAACTTTTACTATTTTATATATACTAATACTATTAATAATAAATATTAGATAATAACAGAACTTGGGCTGCAGTACACTGTGGCAAACATGTGGGACAAATGCCCTTTGATGGCATTTCTGAGTAGCCCAGCTCAGACACTATTATTGTGAATGAGCCTGTAAATAAGAAAGAGTGACAACCATGCAAAAATAATGAAGTGTCAGTAACGTTCATGAAGACCTCCTTTATGAAACAGAGTGTACTGACCGAACCAGGCCTGCTGGTCTCCCTGCACCTCGATGGCCAGGCCGAAGTCCGCCAGCTTCACCGCAGCCCCCTTCAGCTTACTGGCTAACAGAAGGTTCTCCGGCTTTAAACACAGATACAACATTCAGTTACTCACCAAGGAAGGAGATATCAATTCATAATGAGCTAAACATGACTGAGGTACAGTGGTGTAATTTAGTGAAGTACATTTACTCAAGTATTGCACTTAAGTATGATTTTCCTGTAGTTTTGCTTTACTTAGTTTTATATTTTATGCTACTTCATACTTCTACTCCACTTCAATTTGGAGGTAAATATTGTACTTCTTACTCCACTACATTTATTTGACAAAGTGAGTTACTTACTTAAGAGATTCAGATTATTAGCTAACACAAAATATAAATAAACTATGCCATATAGCTATGGGTAAAATATTCAGCAGTAGTACATTAAGTATTTAAAAAGGAGCTCCACTTGCAGCTGGATAAAGAATAAAGAACACATTATTGCATACAAAATTATAATCCAGTAATTTAATATATACTGTATGATTATGGGACATTAAGCACAACAAGCACTTTTACTTTTGGTACTTTCAGTATTTGTTGATGCCAATACTTTTATTCAAGTAAGATTTTAAATTCAGGACTTCTACTTGTTAACACTAGTATTTCTACTTTTACTTCAGTAAAATATCTGAGTACAGTACTTCTTTCCCGCTGAAATATAGATTTTGGGAGGTTTTATTGCAGGCTTAAGCGACAGGAGGGCCATTTCTAGTCCACAGAGAAACAACATGAAGAAGTGAGTGAGCTCATAAACTAATATATGTTAGGGAGGGGGGGGGGGGGTCAATGGATGGATGGATATCATTCAACAAGACGCAGGCGGCTGCAGTGAAATTGGGCGTGCGAGCCCTGCTAGTGGAGAGGGGGGGCAGTGACTCATGCCAGACCCCAGCAGAGCTCCAGGACTCCGAGAGGATGAATAATACATTTGGTGGCATTTAAAAGCGTTATCCTTGATGAAGCCAAACGCTTTGGTGACCGAGCTGTAATGGGAAGAAAATAGGCTGCTGCTTTTATTTTGCAACAATTAAACAAGTTATATTAAAAACTGTGGTCACCTTGGCTCTATACACTGAGGGGCCCCTCACTTATTTTCATTATACTACTTTCACTCTCACATACTGTGTCACTTAACTCTCAAGGGAATGACTTGAAACAGCTAAAGTTGATTTTGGTCAATTTGTTCTACTCAATGAACCGTGGCTGAATCTGTCAACTATCAAAGGGCTACTGAAAAAAAGGTAAGAGGTTGTTGTTGTCATTCGATAGACAACAAATACATTATGTTTACATTATCAAAACTAATGAAAGTAAAATCCATCAGTAAATGATTGTCCTCCAAAAAAGGTGGGTTACCTTTGTTTTTTTATTCTGCTTGTTATTAAAATAAATCATGTTTTTGTTAGGGATTAGGCTATTTAGATGATTTTCCACAATCACCTGCCATACAGACAAATCACAAGTGGCATAACCATAAATAAAAGTAGCAAATCAATCAAAAAAAGGTAGCTCCATTTGTCGTTTATTTTTAATTGTGAACGCTTAGTTTTATTGATATGCAACTTCTCTCAACCTCTTAGTTTGTATCTTTAAGTAAGCTGTGTGTGCATGCAGAGTGTTTCAAGGGTACAGCACATGTTGTCGTACGATGTGCAATTGTTTTCCCTTAAATATTTGCCTTTAGCAAATACAGCATATATTTTAAAGATTAGGCAACTTAAAGCTCTTGTTTAAGATATTTGATATATTTGTATCTGAATACCTGATATGAAGATCCTAGCTTTTTACCAGTGAACCGTTAGCTATGAAGCTATTCGGCTATTCATAAAGTATTAAATACATGTTATTTCTCAGCTTTGACATCACTCACTATTCCAACGATTCCTCCTCTGTGTTTGTAATGACAAAATCATCCTGGATTAATATTCTTGTAAATTCCTACGTATTTGATAGACACTTGACCTCGTGAAAAAACTGTAGATTAATGAGGCCAAGAATTAATGATTGCTTACACAATTCTATATTCACTGCCTACACAGACTTTTGGAAAACAGTTAGAGGTTTTAATTCTAGAAGCAACACATGAAATCAGTTGAATAAATGATAAGTCATTGTCAGATTGGTTGAGCAGTTAGTAGAGCATGTGTGAATTCTGAGTGGTGCGTTCAGGTGAAGGGAAGGGAGAAGGCAGAATGGAAAAAGGAAAGGGGGAGCATTCTGGGTAAACATTATGCTGTGAATGCAAATGATCCGCACCATATGTTACCTACGACCGCTACAAACACTTTGGATCTGCAGATTACGTTTAGAGCCAGAAACATAATGACAATGCTGGGAAAATAAGTCAGACAAAGTATTAACAAACCCTGAGGTCAGCCAGACATGTTTGGAAGTCAAAACCTGGTTTTACCGCCAATTATCAGTTTTTACATTATCTGTTGGCTTGTTTACATTCATCATTTTGATTCCGTCATTATTGACCCGGTGGGTTTTGTCTTTGTGTTTCCAGATATCAGCAGTAGAGATGTGAAGGGAAAAAAACAGGGGGTTAGAAAGTCCCATCCAGTTTGATTTGTGTTACAGCTCTCACCAACCCGAATGTAATACACCTGTGATAGAATATCAAGGCTGTGTTTTCTAAGTTCCTAATAATAATGTGAGCGGGGCCGAGTTGATTTAATGTGTCATTGCGTTCTTCTCTTAAAACTCACCAAACCTGTTAAGCCCTACAACAGCCTTTCCCTTTAACTAATGACCCCAGTCAGGCAAACCCAGTCAAACTAACATAATGTTGGATATAAATATAACTCGGAAAGCATTTCACTAATGGATGTTCGGGGTGTGGGCCAGATCCCCTACGAGCATCGTTACTGAGTCATATCATCACTTCACTTTGAGAAAACACACTCACGCATGCCTGGGTTCCTGCATGTATGACCACTATAGTGTTCAGTTCAGATTGATCTGGATTTATTTTCCGTCCGTGTGGCTGGTGTGATACATCGGTAATTAGATTCTGTTTGACACTTTGGTTCATAATTGGACAGCCTTCTGGGGAAAACCTGGTCTGATTAAGAGAGACGGCATTCATCCTACTTTGGAAGGTGCCGATCTCATTTCGGCAAACATTTCAGGGCTTTGTGGACTTAATCCATGACAAACTGGAGTTGAGACCAGGAGGCGGAGTCGCAGTCTTACACGCTTCTCTGCGCTCTCTCCTAGGCAGTCATCCATAGGAATCCCGAACCCAATAAAATACCCAATATTAGCGGTGTGTGTGTCTGCCCAAGGACAAGTTAAGGTAAAACCTAATAGAGGTGTCATACATAATAACCTAATCAAAGTAAATGTAACAACTACTACAGTGCAACAAAACAGGAATATTAAATGTGGTCTCTTAAACATAAGATCTCTAGCATCTAAAGCAATATTGGTAAATGATTTAATATCAGATTATAATATTGATATATGCTGTCTCACTGAAACTTGGTTGAGACATGAAGAATATGTCAGCATAAATGAGGCCACTCCACCCAGCCATATCAATACTCATATTGCCCGAGGCATGGGCCGAGGAGGTGGAGTTGCAGCAATCTTTGACTCAAGTTTACTTATCAATACTAAACCAAAATTAAATTATACCTCCTTTGAAAGTCTCGTTTTTAGTCTTACGCATCCGACCTGGAAAACTTTGCAGCCAATCTTATTTGTTACAGTGTACCGTGCACCAGGTCCTTATTCAGAATTCTTATCTGAATTCTCTGAGTTTTTATCAACTTTGGTTCTTAAAACAGATAAAGTAATTATCGTAGGTGACTTTAATATTCATGTTGACGATGATAAGAATAGCCTTACTGTTGCATTTAACTCTATATTAGATTCTGTTGGTTTTTGTCAGAGTGTAAATAAACCAACCCACTGCTATAATCACACTCTCGACCTTGTTCTGACTTATGGTATTGAAATTGAGCAACTATTAGTCGAACCGCATAATCCTGCTTTATCCGACCATTTCTTAGTAACTTTTGAAGTACTGTTACGAGACTACAAAGCATTAGTCAAAAGCTCCTGCAGCAGAAACCTATCTGTTAGTGCTATAGCCAAATTTAAGGAAGAGATTCCACCAATACTTAACTCGATAGCATGTCTGCATGTACTGGAGGAAACTTATACAAAATGTACACCACCCCAAATTGATCATGTTGTTGATAGTGCTACAGATGCGCTGCGAATAAAATTAGACTCTGTTGCTCCTTTGAAAAAGAAGAAAATAAAACAACATAGATTAGCTCCATGGCATAATGCCGAAACCCGCAAAATAAAGCAAAAGTCGAGACAACTTGAAAGGATATGGCGTTCTACTAAACTTGAAGAATCTCGTTTAATTTGGCATATTACTCTCAATGAATATAAGAAAGCATTGCGTAAAGCGAGAGCAGCTTACTACTCTTCATTAATAGATGAGAATAAGAATAATGCAAGATTTCTTTTCAGCACTGTAGCCAGGCTGACAGAAAGCCACAGCTCGATTGAGCCTTCTATTCCCATAGCACTCAGTAGCAATGATTTTATGTGCTTTTTTAACGATAAAATTGTTACTCTTAGAAACAAAATTAATGACCTCTTGCCTTTGACCAGTATAGTGTTATCAACAGCTCCCGGAAACGTAAGTTCTAATATTACACTAGATAGTAAACTAGAATGCTTTTCAGCCATAAACCTTGAACAATTAAATTCAATGATTCTCTCTTCTAAACCATCAACGTGCATGTTAGACCCAATTCCAACTAAGCTGTTGAAGGAAGTTTTTCCATTAATTAGCACTTATTTATTAAATATTATGAATATGTCTTTATTATCAGGCTATGTTCCACAATCATTCAAAGTAGCAGTAATAAAACCGCTTCTTAAAAAGCACAACCTCGATCAAGAGGTTTTAGCCAACTATAGACCTATTTCTAACCTTCCGTTTCTCTCAAATTCTTGAGAAAGCGGTCGCAAAACAGTTGTGTGATTACTTAAAAAACAATGATTT